CCCGTCGTCGGCGTTCTCGTTGCCGGCAGACCCGTCTTCTTCTTCACCCTCCGCGTCTTCATCCGAAGCGGCCTTGGTGGACTCGGCCGAGGTCTCGCTGTAGCTGTCGGAAAAATCCAAGACCTGTAGAACGGCTTGGGACGACGACGCAACGGGAGGCGGCGATGGCGAAGGCTGGGGCGACGAGGAGGGCGCACGGGTGCGACTACTCGCCAAGTGTGCGACGTCGATCTCGTGGTCCTCGCCAGGTTGGAACGCTTGATCCTGAACGGTCGCGGGGTCCGACTTGTCGAATTCCTGGGCCTTCTCGATCTCCCTCTGGAACTGCTTCTCCATCTTTTCCATCTCGCAATAGAAAAAGGGATCGAAGAAGGCAGGGGGTGCCGCGAACCGCTCGTTCGCCTCGCCATCCAACAAGTCCCCGTGGGTCAAGATCATCCGAACACCCTTACGGATGTCGGCCATCTCGGCGGCGTCGATCTCGGTCGCGGTGTGGACGAACATCGCCTTGATGCGTTCGTCCGAGCCGTCGTCGAAGTGCTCCTTCAGCTGACCAACGAAATCACGGAACTGGCCAATGGCCAGGACGCGGATCTCGTTGGCCGTGCGAAGAAGCCCGCCGTACGCGTCCAAGGTGTCGGCGAGACGGTTGGCAGACTTATTGAGATCTGAAGACGTCGTCAGAAACGATCAAAAATAGAAATGAATGATAAGAGTGGACTCTTACCGTCCGCGCTCATCTGCGCGATGTACCCGAAGCGTTGCCCCATATACAGCTGCTCCGCGGGCTTGTAGCCGTTGGTGCAAGTCTGTTTATAGAGCACGCACGGGGCGCACCGATTGCCGTGGCGCCCGTCGACGCTCTTGAAGCAGACGCGCTGCCGCGTCACGCACATCGCGCAGGGCCTTGGCGCGACCTCCTATGAAAAAGGGAGTCAGTCGTCGAGGCATGAGAGAAAAAGATAAAAGAACGCACGAAGTCAGTGGGCACCTCTACGCCGGCCCTTTCCAACTTCCCCGCGAACCCTTGGCGTGCCACCGAAAGGAGCGCCTCGGTGTCGTAGGCGGCGGGAGTGAACGGAGCTCGGGGCGTGGGAGCCGACGCCTTCGCAGGAGTCTAGAAACAGTCAAGTCAGTAAAAAGTCAACGACAAGAAAAAGTCGCGACTCACCGAGTCAGATTTCTTCTTGGCCGCCGCAACGGACTTTTCTGCCTTCTGAGCCTTGAGCTCGGCCTTGGCCGCAGCAACACTCCGCTCGCGACCAAGGGTCGCGGCCACCCTGCCCAACTCACTGCGTGGAGTCTTGGTAGCGGCGGGAGCCGCCTGGGCAACCTAGAAAAGAAAGAAAACGACTTAGTCGACGTCTGGGGACCCAAGTTTGTGTCTCACCTTAGCCACTGGGGTCGGGGTAGTCGTCGTTCGCGGGGCGCTCGCCTTGCGACTGGCCTCCACCTTTGGCACCGGTTGGGGAGGCACGGACTTGGTCGACTTGGACGATCCGTCCGCGACCTTCTTGATTGGCTAAAAAGCTGGATTAAGGGGCGTGGTCTGGGAAAAAGGAGTCGGCTCGCCTTGGGCTTGACGCGGGTCTCGTTGACCTGCTTCTTGGCCACGACGAAATCGCCGGTCTCCTCTCCGCTCTCGGAGGTGTCGTCCATGACGATGACGGACGGGGCTACGAAAGTGTGAGTAATCGACAGAGGGGGCAAGAGGAAGAACGCACTCAAATTCGATCGCGCTTTCCCCTTGGACTTGGGCCCCTGTCAAAAACAAACCAACCATGAGACGAAGAACCGCGATCGACGAACTGGGTCACTTACCTGAAGGGCCAGCTTGTCGGCCGATGACGCGTCTCCCTCCTGGACCCCCTCGTCGTCGACATCCATCGCAGTGTCGGCGACGGCGGCGGCTTCCTCATCGCTGAGGGACTCGGGTTGCACGGGCTGTGCTTGGATCCGGGCTGGGAGGGACCAAGTGGTTAGTCTCAGGATCAACGAAATAAGACATAGGGTGCACACACCTGCGTGCGTCTTCTTGGGGACGCGCTTGGGGGGTGCCTCCTGTGAAACAGGGACCGGAGTAGCGGCTACAATAGATCAGTGCCCGCGACTTCGGTGAACCGAATGAAAAAGCCACTTACGAGTAGGCGCATGCGACGATGCCTTGGGCTCCTTTGCAGGAGTCGCCTTGGGTCGCTTCCCCTGCGGCTTCTCGCTCGACTTCTTGGCGACGGCGACCTTGCTGCCCGCGACGGCGGCAGGGGCCTGCGGCTTGGAGCCGTCACCCTTCCCCTTCTGCTTGGCAGGCCGGGACGACGAAGGGGCGGCGACTTGTTCGGTTGGAGCCGCCTGGGGGTCGATCAGAACATAGTAAACGAATGAAACAGATTACACGTACGGGTTCGACGACTCGCTTGCGTTTCTTGGGCGGCGACGACTCCTCGACTGGAGCGTTGGTGGTCAAGGGCGCAGGCGCCGGCTAGCCCTTACGTTAGTGAAAAGAATGGAAGGCCAAAGCGAACAGACGCGGCAATCATTGATCGCCGTGACTATTCGCTCCAGCGGGCTTAAGACGGAGCTCACCTGTTGGATCTGGCGGACGTCGACGGCCATCTGCCGCAACATCTGGTTGTAGGCCTCGGGGCTAGGCAGGTGGTGAGTTGAGTCGACAAGCCATGGGAGAGACCTTGACTGACGGCATGAACTGCCGCCAGTCGATGGCAGGCAGGTTTGCTCCCGGGACAGCTGATTCGGTGACGGCTGATGGATGGTTAGCGTGGTTGAAAAGTCGCGGTAATTGTCTTGGGCGTCACTCACGGTTGGTGTCTTGGGGGCGGGGGCTCTGGTCGGGCGCGGACATGGTGGTCAAAAGGCAAGAGTGTCTCGTACTAGGGAGACTCTCGACCCTGAAAATTGAGGGCATTTATATGGTGAACATGCCGGAAGAAGTTTGATCGCGGCAGATCACGGAAGGAACCGAACAACCAAATGAATAAGACGTGGGAACATAACTCTATGTCTCCGCGGCTTTAATAATAAATGAACGAGACGTCGACTGTTGGACTTAGACCTGACGCAGTGAGACTGTCGCGGGATTGACCAGGAGGTCAAAATTAGTGTTCCTGGGAGATGATAGGCTGGCTACCAGACGCGCTCTGCACCAGCTCTGTAAGGGCGTATTTTTGCGCTTTTACAGAGTTTACTCCTGAACCACTCGGTGTATCGTGTCGCGGTTGACAGTGTTGCGCTCAGTAGGACTTAAGGGTCTACTGCCCAGTCGACGACTGTGGATAGTGTCGACGATAGCAAGGCAGTCAGACCACTACTGTGGAACTGGTCTTATGAGTCTATACCAGGCTCAGGGCCATTAGTGACGAACGCTTGGACCGCGACCATTCCCCAAAAGGGATCTGTCGTTGCGTCGACTTCTCAAAAAGGGTCATTCCCTGCAGATGGGAACTTGGGCTGAAGGACTGAGCAATGCGCGACGTTCTCAATAATAGAACTATTACTGGACAGGACTTGGCGTTACGAGACTTAAACCATCTTGTCGCGGCAACTCCCGGTTTTGAGTTGGACGTTCCCTCAGATCATGCCACGACGACGACTTGTCACATGTCAGGATCCATTCGATCACGGGACATTGTGGACGCGTCGCGGTGACACTCCCAAGTGTCACGGCGAGTCGCGTCCATACCCAAACACACTAAAATCGACACGGCTAGATCCATGAACCGAACCATGTGGGGGACGACTGGCGTGCCTAGAGCCATACGGCTTCTTGGGGCGCCCACGTTGGTCTCACTTGCCAAGACATACTCGTTGGCCAATCCAACACGTCATATTCCAAAAGTATGACGCGGTGGGTTGACCCACATCAAAAGTATCATATGGACTATGGGGCGGGGTCCTGATCACTCAGGACCTGTCCGATCGTTCAACTTTTCAATTACCCTAAAAGGCAACCAATCTTAGATAGCGTAGCTACTATGCAGTTGTACAGGACTTTACTAAGCAGCGTCGTAGACAGTATAAGTAGCACGTCGTCTCTTTGTATTTAGAAAGCTTTCCCCCGGACTGTGAATCACTCTCATTTCAGATTGTTTTGTACAATTTGCGTGCCGCGTGATTCCACCCTAAGAAGTTCTGCTACCCCTGCCCGGTCGCGACGAGTTGCTCCCTGAGCACTTGTAGCTACTGTGATTTGAGTTTGAGTTGAGACATCAGAAAGTCGGATTCGCCGCATCTGGTTTAGTCGCGGCATTTAGTGTCGTCGCCTTCGGGCTTTGTTGAGATCGTTCCACACCTCTAGCTTGGCAGTGCGTCGACTAGTTGTGCTCGGGTTGTTTTGGTCAGTTGGCAGTGCGTCGACTTGAGAACTTTGGTTCCACACTTCTTGCTTGGCAGTGCGTCGACAAGTTGTGCTCGGGTTTTGGACATTGGATATTGGCTGTTAGTTGGCAGTGCGTCGACGCGGCATTTTGGTTTACTAGTTGGCAGTGCGTCGACTCAGTACTTTTGGTTGTGTCAGTTGGCAGTGCGTCGACTCGACATTTTTGTTTACTAGTTGGCAGTGCGTCGACTCAGTATATTGGTTGTATCAGTTGGCAGTGCGTCGACTTGATATTTGGGCTTTGCGTCACCATCTGGACGCTGTCGCTACAAGGGATCTTAATACTTCGTATTAAGTTCTGACTTGTTATATTGTTGGTTGTAGATTGGATTAGTGTTGGTTGTGATCGTATAGAAGATATTGGTTGAGACACCATTGTTTGCTATATATATATATTCTTGTCGTCGACTCCGTCTCCGCGACTATTGGATCTGCGTCTATTGAGAGTTGTGATACTGGTGCTCTGTCCACCCCGAAGCCCTCGCATCTTTCACACACTGAGAAGCTGATTACGAGGAGTGTGAACGTGTTTATATTTGGGTTTACTTTCATAGTAGATTCACTTGTGAGCACGCCCTCAGCATTTCACCGGTCTTGGAGCGGAGACATGGGGTCGCATCCCGATCATCCTCATCAGGCGGAGGATCGACCGTGCCTCGAGTCACACTCATTGTACGCGACACATACCAAACAGTGGTGAATGTGTTTGGTCTATGGCGAAGCTATCTACACCGGCCGACGTACGACCCCGACGAGCATATTGATGCAGATGATCTTTCGACTCGCTATCCGTCGGATGGCAATCCTGACAAGCCGGAGGCTACCGTATCAGAACCAGTGCCAATAGTGAACAGGAGCCTTCGAGCTCTTTGGGGCTGGTTTAACAACGGCAGCATCAAGAAGACGAAGCAGCAGTTCAACAAACTCATCGATGTGATCACTCACCAAGACTTTGAGGCTGCCGAGTTGGTCGGAACAAGTGCCGCGCAAGCTGATAAGGAAGCCGACCAAGAGGCCCAAGGATCTCTCCCGTTTCTTGCGAACATGAAGACAGCATCGGTTACAATCACTGTGCCATCGGGATCGCCGGATGTACCGTCACGGAGCTTTGCGATACCGGGACTGCAGTTTCGAAGTCTGACGTCCGTCATCAAGGCAGCGTTTGCAGATCCAATATCAGCCCACTTCCATTTCTCGCCTTTCAAACTGTACCATGACGATACGCGTGTCTACACGGAAGTCTACAACTCCGACGCCTTCATTGAAGAGCATGACAAGATCCAGCGGATGGGCGAACTGCCGCCAGATGAGCCGGAGTGTAAGCTGGAGAAGGTCGTCGCAGCAATGATGCAATGGTCGGACAGCACTCATCTCACGAACTTCGGCGTCGCCAAGCTCTGGCCTATCTACGTCCTATTCGGGAATCTCAGCAAATACATGCGATCCAAGCCGGGATTCGGTGCCGAACATCATCTGGCGTACATTCCGTCGGTCAGTTCCTCAACTTGCAGAGCAAGTCAGCACAATGCTGATGACTTATTCTAGTTACCAGATTCCTTCCAAGATGAGTTAGCTCAGTTTCACACAAAATGGGATAGTCCAAATCAACGGAAAGATGTACTTGCCTTCTGCCGTCGTGCGCTCTTCCAGGCAGTCTGGAAACAGCTCCTCGACGACGAATTTCTGCATGCCTATCGCTACGGTATTGTAATTACCTGTGCTGATGGCATAAAGCGCCGTGTTTATCCACGTTTCTTCACGTACTCCGCGGATTACCCTGAGAAGTACGTGCAGAACGTTACTGGTCCTCCACCCTACATCGCTGACTGCTATTGCAGAGTGCTGCTGGCAACAATAAGAGAAGGTGGAGCTTGCTTGTGTCCGCGATGTCTAGTCAAGAAATCAGAGGCACATCGTATGGGTATGGTGAGAGATATCAGCAAACGGTTTAGCAATGCACGGCAATATCTTGCCTTTGCCGTTTGTGATGCCCGCGATTGGATCTATATGCGAGGTTATGGTATCAAATCTGCTATGGTGGAGGGTTTGCTTCAAAAGACGTCATCTGTGCCGATCGAAGTATGTCTGATCTTTTGGTCCAATCCCCGGATTCTAATGCGATCTCAGAACACGTTTATTGCTCGTCTTGGGGCGTCCTTCAACTTGCATCGAATGCTGGTGGTCGACTTCTTGCACGAGTTCGAGCTGGGAGTTTGGAAGTCACTGTTCTCACACCTCATTCGTCTTCTCTACGCCCAGCCAAGTGGGGCAAGTCTAGTTTCGGAGCTCGATTCACGGTAAGTGACAATCTGGACCAATAGTCTAAGCTGACTAGCGATCAGCTATCGTCAAATACCACGATTCGGACGCGACACTATCCGTCGATTTGCCACTAATGCATCGGAGATGAAGAAGCTCAGCGCCCGCGACTTTGAAGATCTCCTGCTCTGTTCCATCCCTGTTTTCGATGGCCTGTTTCCCGACAGCGAAGACAACAAACACATTCTCAAACTTCTCTACCGCATGGCAGAATGGCACTCATTTGCGAAGCTCCGAATGCATACAGAGCCTACCCTGGCTCATCTTGAAGCGCGTACAGAGGAGCTGGGACGTCTGATGAGGAGCTTCCAATCCAAGACATGCTCGAAGTACACGACGAAGGAGCTGCCACGAGAAGCGGCTGCGCGGGCAAGACAGGAGCAGAGAGACGCACAAGCAAAGGCCGCATCAGGCTCGACCGCTCCTTCAAAACAAACGAAGCGTAATAAAAGTGAAAAGGGCTTGAATCTGGCAACGTACAAGTGGCATAGTCTTGGTGACTATGTGAATTTCATCCGCCTGTTTGGGCCTACGGATAACTATTCGACACAAGTGGTGAGCTCCATCAGTATTCACATCCGGAGTGAGAAATTTGACAAATGGACAATGACAGGGAGAGAGTCTGCATCGCGTTGTGAAGCGTCTCTATGGTATGACCAACAAGCGGAATCATGCAGGTCAAATTGGGGTCCGTGTTACTCGAATGGCTCGTGCTCGTGTTTCACAACGCATTCGCGAGGCAAAGAAAATGCGCCATTTCCACCTCGTAGGGTTTGATCAACCTGATCCCTTCACTATGACCGATAACCATGCCCATCACGCAACGAGTCGAGTTCAAAGATATCCCTTGTACATCAATAGGTTCAGTTACGCAATCACTGGAGATCCAGCGCTCAAGGTCCGTGTTTGTTACTGTCGGGAAGCAGCGCTACATTGCAAAGTACTAAAAGTCGCATCAGAACTTTGTGCCCAAGCTTCAAGACCATCTCCTTGGCCGTCTGCTGGAGCGCGAGTTCGATGGCGACACTCACGAGTCCTTCAAGGCAATAGACCGGCAAAGCGTTCAAATCATCGGCAATCGCTTATATACCACCAAGACACTTCGAGTCAACTACACTACATACGATGTGCGTCGGGAGCAAGACATCATCAACCCACGAATGTCAGCATTCATAATGGTGCGCTCACCAGAAACGCAGTCCGACGCACATCCATACTGGTATGCGCAAGTGCTTGGCGTCTTCCATACGTCCGCTTGTATCTCCTCTTCAAGTTTGGTCTCCGCCACAAGAACGTACGACTTCTTATGGGTGCGATGGCTTGGAATAGAGCCCGGGCGTCGAGCTGGTTTCAAGAATGCACGCCTGCCTAAGGTTGGCTTCGTAGAAGAGTCGGATTCGCTCGCATTTGGCTTTTTAGACCCAGCTTACGTTGTTCGCGGCTGCCATCTAATACCAGATCTCAGTGGCGGCCGGACAAACTCTCTTCTTAGCACAACGAAGAAGACAGCAGCGAGATCTGTGGATGAGACAAGCGATTGGGCCTCATTCTATGTGAACATGTGGGTTTTTCCTTGTTCATTGAGATTTGTAGCTCACAGGGAGCTCAGATTCCTCGATCGCGATATGGTCATGCGATACTTCGGAGGGGGAATTGGGCATCTGTCTGTTCAACCGGAGACAGAAGAGGAGGATGCAGATGATCCAGATGAAGATGAAGATCAGGAGGATGAGGAAGACACGCCAGAGAAGGACAATAAGGAGGAAGACAAGCCTGAGGAGGATGAAGACGACTCGGAGGAGGAGGAAGACGACTCGGAGGAGGACGAAGAGGACGATGAAGAGGAGGTAGAGGAGGACGATTTTGGTGCAGACGACGGCGAAGATGATCATGAAGACACAGGTTATGCAGACCTCTAGTCAGAACAGTGTATAATACGCGTTGCATGTCTTAATGAGTGTTCCTCATCAGATCAAGCATTGTGTGGGGATGTACGAGCTTGAGATTGACCGTTTACTCAAGGCTATTGCTAATCGTGTACTCAAATTGAATCGTCACGATATTCTCGACCCGGAGAGTCCTGACTAATTGTCACGGTATTGGCTGTCTAGTACTCACGAAAACTAGCCATGCTAATATGAATGGTTGAGAGGCCCATGAGTCTGCTTTTGGCTGCTCCAACACTGAGTAGTCTGATGGCCACGAGCGAGACTGCCTGCCTACTGACGAGTCCAGTGACGGACTCGACGCAGCTCGTGAGCAGCTGATGAGCCGCATCTATGCATCAGCATCATTAATGATCTCATGATCGCCATCAGCGCTGATACGCGGTTGTCTTATTTCCTGATGAAACAGAAGAGGGAAGAAAAGCGAAAGAATGCTGAGGCGGGGCAGAAGGAGTTGCAGAAGATGGTGTTGTCAAAGAGGACGGAGTGGCCTGGTGGTCCGAATGGGCTTCAGGCATGCCGCGCGCATGGGATCCTCAGTTACTTTGACATGGTGCTCAAAAAAGGACGCAGCAAGATGGATGCAGGCACGATTGCCGCTGAGTGTCACGGATTTGCAGCGGATTGGGGTGGGAGGTGTGTGCGGGAATGGGCGGCGGAGTGGGTTCGCGTGCGCAAGTTGCCGGTATCGCATCGCGGCCGACACGGGAAGGTCTTTTCGCTGTTCAGTGACCCGTCCATCAAGGCCGAATTCCGTGCTTACATTCGCTCAAACAAGTGGGCCATGAACCCGGCCAAGCTCAAGCTGTTTCTGGACGGCAAACTCCTCCCTGCAGCTGCGGAGCCGTACTTGAAGGAAATAATGGAGAAGGAGATGCCGCGTGGTTTGAAGCGTTATATGGAGGAGGTTCTGCTTCCGCGGCTGCAGTTGAAAGTCGGCAAGAAAGGGATATCGTTGACGACAGCGCGCACCTGGTTACACCAAGAAGGCTTCAAGTATACCAACCACAAGAAGGGCCTCTATTTCGATGGCCATGATCGACCAGATGTCGTCGAGTATCGTCAGAAACAGTTCTTGCCGAAGATGGCCAAGTACGTGCCTCGAATGGTCGCATACACTGTGGATGATGTCAATGTCCCCAAGCTCCCATCCAACTTCGTTGAGCACCCCATTGTCTTGTGCGCCCAGGACGAGATGACTGCGCAGGCAAATGACTGTCAGTCGAAGATCTGGGTTTTCGAGGATCAGCATGCATTGAGGAAGAAAGGTGTTGGTCGTGGATTGCACCGAAGCGATGTCATCTGTTCGACAGTGGGACATCTCGCGGCCGCCGGAGCTCAACTCGAGTATGGGAAAGCTTACGAGGGTTACTGGACTGGCGAAATGTTTGCGACACAGCTGAGAGAGAAGATTATTCCCACCTTCGAGGAGATTCATGGGCCGGGTTACCAGATGCTCCTGATGGTCGATAACTCTCAAGGGCACGCTTGTTATGCCGAAGATGCGTTACTGGTCTCACGGATGAATGCCAAGCCTGGCGGCAAGCAAGCTCACATGCGAGATGGATGGTTCATCAAGGACAGAAAGAAAGTTCTGCAGTCCATGGTGTTTTCCGCATCCCATCTCCAGTATCCCAATCAGCCAAAGGGCATGAGGGCTGTTCTCACTGAGCGCGGGTTTGATGTTCGGCAGCTGCAAGGAAAATGTCCAAGCAAGTGTGCGGACGACGGCATCACCTGTTGCTGCAAGCGCCTTCTGGAACTCCAGCCAGACTTTCTCGAGCAGAGTTCGCTGGTGCAGGAGCTTGTGGAACAAGCCGGACACCTCTGTATTCTCTTGCCGAAGTTCCATTGTGAGCTCAATTTCATTGAGTTCTTTTGGGGTGTCGTCAAGAAATATCTGCGAGACCACTGTGACTACTCCTTCGACACACTCAAGGAGAACATGCCGAAGGCTCTTGCGTCCGTCTCGGTACAAACCATCAGACGCTGGGAGCATCGAATGATCCGGTGGATGAATGCTTATCGGGCAGGCCTCGAGACTCAAGATGCGCAGGTGGAGGTTCGAAAATTCAGCTCGACGAAGTACAAATCTCACCGAAGGGTCCCAGAACACGTCGCGAGGGCCTTCGATGCCTAAATATACCTGTTCTTGTACGCACTGCCAAATTGGGGTATGTCAAAATTTATAACTCCGTCAATTCTTGAGCTATTGAGAAACCCTCTAGCCAATCGACTCCTTTCCAATGGGGGAGTCGAATGGCAAGAGGAATAAGAAATCTGATGAAAACTGCACGTGCCCATAGCGCTATACACTTTTGGTGGTGACTAAGTCGCGCGCACCATAGTATGCTTCTGGGGAGTATGGCGACTGACGTAATAAGCCCAATTGGGGACTTGTGACTGATCGAATGTGACCGGAACTCCTGCTCGTAACGAAACACACAGGACCAGCAAATCCTCAACTAGGAATGGCCTTCTCTCTGCGAAAGCCAGGTTATCTAGGGAAATGGTTGATATTACATAAGCTACGGTGGACATTGAACCGTCGACGTTCGATTGCAGCGCTTCCGGTTTTTTGTGCGTTTCCAATCATCAGTGTTGCCTAACTGTTAACAGCCGAAAATCACCACAGTACTCGTCGAAAACCTGAAGCCTCAGAAGGCACTCCCTGAAAAACCGAATTTCCTGCATCAATGCCGCATTTCGGCACATTAGTATACTAAAACGGCGACACTTTCCCTTGTGGGGGGGCTGAGTTCTAAACTAGACTTGAGTCACTTGACCCGAATGCTGACCGACGTAAAATCCCGCGCCGGATTCCTGCGGCATTTCCAAAAAGCCATGTTCATGTCACAGCACAGTTGACAAGTACATGCGAGCCAGACGTATCGAAAGAGATGTATTCCCCCGTGGCAACTCTCGAGCGCTCTCACTTTTTGCACTCGGCACGGTACCGCCCATATCCGTGCGAGTTGATCGAGCCGGTGAACTCCATGTACGAGGTGCGCTGCGCCCGCGACTCCCTGTCAATGGGGATGTGCCCTGCAGCGAGTTCGTCAGCGATCTGGGCGAGTCTTTTCAGACATGGAGTCACGGACAGTAGTAGTGATCCTTGACGCGAGAGTTGAAGCCGAAGCGGACGTAGCCGTCCGCCACGAAGCCAATACGGCCGCGGGATGGCTGATAGCAAGTAGTGGTGGTGATCTGCAATGCTTGTCAGAACATTTACGAAGGCAAGGGATAGTCCCGACGAACCAGCATGGAACAGTAGTCTCCGGGCTCTGAGTTGAGAGCCACGGAACGGGTGCTCTCCTTCTTGATGCTCTTCTCGAAGCTGAATGGGTGTTAGCCTTGAACTCAGTGATGTAGTACATGGCACAAACGTTGTTCCGAACTCATTGGTGAACGAGGCAGCAGCAGTGTAGGACACACTGCCTTCGCCAATGCCTGGGACGCCGATTGTGACACTGGCAGTGTAGCTCAGACCGATAGTCGAGGCCCCTGTGCGTGGGGATGTCAGAGCACGAAGTGAGAGTCGAGGTGCAGATCCTCAACTGGTCACGGACTCCGTGGCCGTGGTCGACGACCCAGACACGACCGACAGAGTGATGACACCACTGCGGCCGACGGTGTTCCCGTCAAAGGTCTGCTCGTCGGTGTTGCATTGAGCTTGTCCGGTGCGTTCGACAGAGACGATGCCCTCGTCGACGCAGGCTGTTGCTTGAGTCACTCCGTCCTACAGAATCTATTGAACTAGAAATCTGCTCAGAGAAGAGGAAAACCAACCCATGTCGTCCACAGATTGTAGCTGACGGTGGACGAAAGCGTGTCCTTCACGTACCGCACCAGGTTGGGCCAAGCGGGAACTAGCAACGCAGTCAAAAGCCGCAGCTCAGACAAGCCAGTGTCTACGCACGACTCTGGAGCTCGCTGACCGACAGCCCAGTGCACCGGCCTCCGATCGGTGCCTGTCTCGAGGCCAGATGAGTCGAGCTCGCATTCGGGTTGATGAGCGCATGGAAGTCCTCGTTCTTGAGGCGCCCGAGCGCCTTGAAGTCCTTGTCGTACGCGACAGTCCAGTCCGTGTCGTTGTCCGATCCGTAGGCAGTCGCTCCGGCGGGAAGCTCGTTGACGATGTTGACGCTGCTGAGGTCTGGGGCAGAGCCAGGTCCGCTGATGGACACAGCGTTCGAGACGAGGGCGAGAGCAGAGAGCACAGCAGCGAGGAGGTTGAGACGGACCATCGTCGAATAGCTTATGGAACTCGGTATCGATGGGGGGGAAAGACCTTCGGTGAAGACTCTGGGGAATCTGCGCTCACGCTTTTAAAGCTCTTGAGCAGCCGATTGGCATGCGGAGTGTCGAAACGCCAACTCGATTTCAAGCCGACAAAAGCAATGTGTTTGAAGGACAGAGGCGGTTTCGACGGATACGATCCAAACCCAGTTCCAAATCTTCGGCGCGGGTCAGCCTTCGACACTAGCAGGCGGTGGGAGTGTCGAACTATTCGGCTACAAAGCAACCCGACATATTAGAGCAAAACAGGATATGATGGCCATGCTGTAATTGGACTGGCTTGTGGTTAGTTATGACCGGTCATTTCAGTCTCGATCATTCGTTAGTAGTTCCGGTTCCATAGCATTGCTTGAGTGGAAGACCAATGACTAATCACTCGGTTATAGGCTCCGTTTCGTCGATTTTTGTGGACGTGCGAACTATCGATCACGGAAGTCAGCGCGTTGATCGTCACCCACCAAGCGCGCCATTCATGTGGTTGCAGTGGAGTGCTTCGGGAATTGTTTCAGCCACGATGCGGTCGGTAGCTGACGGAGCGACGGATTTCGACAACTAGACTGCTGGAGAACGGCAATCGGGCCTCCGGGAGTGTCCGAAGTAATCTGATGGAGACGCTGCCGCTGCTAGCCGAGCCTGATTGATTGATCGCGAATTGTGAGATTGTTGATCTCCGCGGAGTTGAAAATCTGCTCCTTCAGCTCCACTCTCAGCCCTGTAAGTTCCCCTGCATCATCCAAAGCACGAATTTACCGTGAAATCTACTGATATAAATGGAAATGCCCTGGCTATGTCGGAGTGGTCACTTCAAAAACCAAGGCCGGCCCCGCAACTGACCCCCGAAGCTTCCAGCAGCTTCTGTAAAGGCGCAATCACCGTAAAACCTGGTCAGAGGACATTGGTACAAGTCTAAGCACGATCCAACTTCTGAAATGCCGAGACAGGCTTTCTGGAGATTTTGACGGATGGGGAGTGGCGACACGTATTTTCACAGTATATCACATCAGCACGCACTTTGACGTAGACACCAAAAAAGAAAGTCTACTAGCACAGAAAAATATAAGACTTGTCGCTACCATCAGCGCGGAATTTGAATTGGCATGCCCAAGAAAGATGGAATCCATGAATCGTAAGCTCGCTCGGTCACACCGGGAACTGCAATGTGATGTTGGTCAGGAACGCCATCCCTGCCGCCCGGTACGTGTCCTGACTGATAGTCGTCGGAATCAGCCCATCCAAGAATGTCATCATGTTCGGCGAGGCCTTGGTATACGCGGGCCAGCTGGGCACTGTGGGCCCGTTCGGATCCAGGTTGTTTGTGAAGTAGATGAGATAATCAGTGAGCTCTCCGTCCGCGTAGATGTTGAGGATGTCGGATGCGTGGAATGAACCCAAGAGGGGGACGGCTTTCTCGCGTTTGCTCACTGTTCAAGATATGTCAGCAAACGGATCATGCAAGTTAGTTGAAACGTACAGAATGCCCATTGATTTTGGCGCCCCGACAATGTCTGCTGGAAGAAGCGGCGCGGGGCCTGGAATACTGCGTCGCCCTGGAAGGCGGCGATGCGCTTGAATTGGGGCGTGATGCCGTTGAGCAGACCTGTGTCGTAGGGCGAGCCGTCCAATATGTTGCTTGGGTAGAGGGAGAGGAAGGTGTTGGACTGGGTGGTTGAAGCCGACGGGAGCCAGAACTGCTTGACCCACCCAGCAAAGGCAGTGTCGGTTCTAACAGAATATCGATTCGTATGCGAATTTCCGCGAATGGAGGGGAACTCACGTGAGATTCAGAGTAGACAGCGAGAAGAGAGTGCCCTCATCATCGCAGTCACCTTGACAAGTGATGAGGCTCTCGTACGCAGACCGGTCATATTTGCTTACCAGTCACGAATGGGACCTTGGCTACCTGTAGCTGCTGCACGAGGCTCTGCGGATTCCCCTTCAAGAACGTGCCGTCCTCACGCGGGATCCATGCCAGAACGAGAGACTGGCGTGTGTCAATGCCGGTACGCTGGGACCTGTGGGAAACTCACCTGATACGCAAAGATGGAGGGCGTGGCGTCTTGCGCAGCTTTCAACGATGCGAATGGAACAGTTCTCAGGCACTCCAGCGTGTCACTCGCCCCGGCGCATCCGGTTTGCTGCACAATCTGATCGTAATCTATGCGGAAGATTCAGTGCACACGATCTGAGTGCTTGATCGATAACGATCTATGACGTACACTTCTGGCCATTCTCGACCGGCCCGACGGGGATGGGTGATCCGGACTCCATAAAACCAGCGCGGAACAGTCCTTCTGTGTTCGCTCCATTTCCCAACATCTGCAGTGCGACAGAAATAGCGCCCGCGGACTCCCTGTCGAAGATGAATGACCGAGCCTGGGTACACGCAGGGGAGAAACCTGCCCCCAGATGGTGACCTTTGTCGGGTCTCCTCCAAAGGCTGAGATGTACTTTTGGATCCAGCGCAACGCCTGCCGTTCTATACCGACTGAGCACAGTACAGTTCTGTGCGTGTCACAACGGACTTACGATCTTGAAGACCGAGGTTTCCTACTCCGGCCGCGCGAACTTCAGCGCTGGCAAGGAAACCAAAGGCTGTCACGAGGTCAATTGGGTGCTTCTGACTGCTGACCAGAAACGAACCTGCAACCCGATAGTTCATGGAAACGTAGATCACGGGCTTTCCAATCGAAATAGAGCGCTCGACGATTACGGATCCATCGTACCTGTCAAGATGAGCTGAGGATCTCGCAGATTAATGGAAAAACGCACATGGACGGGCTCCCCAGTTCGAATCCTCCGCCGAAAATCCACTACTCGATAAGATAACATTCGCCATCATCCTTGGAGAATTATCGGAGCCAGGACGCACCGCGACGACAGGCAACTTGGCTCCCGCGGGGGTCCCAGCCGGTCTGATTACATTGATCGTCAAGCCTAAAGTAAAGATATCAGTAATGAGCCGTATTCCTGCGTGCGACAGGGCCTTACAGTCCTCGGATGCAGGGAACACGAGGCCGAAGATCGAATTGACGACTGTGTCAATGACTTGTTGCGGCAGACCCGTGAGGATAGGCAGGGCAATTGCCTGTTGGGGGCACGAGAGACCGAAAGCCGTCGCATTGTGTGTGCCGGTGTAAGGGGAGTTGGCCACAGGAAGCCGGAATCGAAGATCCCCAACCCTGTAGGAGATGGAGTTCGCCGCGAATAGGTTTGGAGAGGAAGAGGAACATACGGCGGCTGAGCGAACGGAATACCATAGAAACCTTCCGTGCGCAGAGAGGGTGTCTTCCCCGTGAACGTCCCATTGTCCAGCTTGACCGACGGGGCAGCAATCGCACCAGGAATGGCCAGAGCCAGAAGAGCCGATGCGATGATTCCGCGCATTACCTGGTGCATCTTTGCAGGTATGTGAGCAGGTCGAGAAAACCCACAGGCACGCACTCGTCGTACATGCCCTATATAGACCTTTTCTTATATGGGGACTCTCCCACCCGTTACCAGCGGCCGATTTCACAAGCTTGCAGCCCTAGCACTTGAGCGGTCATGAGCTCTGTCACGCGCGTCTGTTGCACCCCGGCGCGTTCCCGCAGACACGGAAAAATGATGATGTCGGATGTAGAAGACTGGGCGAGACAGGCACGGCCTCCGCGAATCGCCAGATTGAGCATATTCCGTGAGAAAAGGAATGAGGTGGTGGATCACGTCTTGCGATGGCATGGACTGAGCAGGCATTCACGTAGTCGGAGCCGGGAGGAAGCCGAATGAGAAGCCCGGCGGCAGACACCGGATTGATTCGGATTGCCATCTTCGGCTAGATCCAGAGATCGTTCGATATCTATAATCTAACGCTCACCTCATCCCGCTTACATACACTATGTGGACAAAATGATTGACTGATCAGTTTTTTGATTGTCTTGGCTCACAGAGCTGATATTGCCCAAGGGTCAATTGAAATAAAATGCACCTTAAGAGTATTAGTTTCCATGTGTAGAATATCTAGAACTCCAGATTACAGTGTACTAAATGAAAATCTTGTCCATGTTCAAATGTGCCCACCCCTGCCTGGAATACTCCTTGCTTGATGGCAGTGGGTGCTGACCTTTCACTATATGTTTGAGAGGGTCCTACATGTGCTAGATGATATTGAAATCAGGACTCAAGGCTGGCCACAGAAGCAAAATGTTGTCTTTATTGTAAAACCAGTCATTGATAATTGGTAGTATATCTCTACAAATAATTTTGCAACAACTTCAGGGGTTCAGTGGAGTACTCTATAGGCCCAAGGCTACATTTTGTTCTTCGAGACCCTAAGATGATATGAGCTCTAAGAGCCTGGAAAGCCCATTTTTAATCAAAGAGAACTGATCAGTCAATCATTTTGTCCACTTACTGTAAAAGGCGTCGCTGTTTTTTGGAATACTTACCTGGAGAATACAAAACAAATGAGATGAAGACCGGAAACTCTCAAACATCAAACTGCAGGCTATTCTTTCTGTATCTTAGTCCTTGTTCCGGAATTTCCACCTCAGCTGAGTGAGTATAGATGGCAACCGGCCGCAACAATCAGTCTTGTCGGCGACGGGTAGCTGTGAAGCACACAACAGGACGGCCGCCGCGACTTCATTCAGCATGGCTACGGATTCGGTCATGGTGATCACAGGTCGGCATCTTTGTGCACAGAATTTACGAAGTGAATAAGCCACTCTTTACACTCTCGAAGAAACAGAATAAGGCACTAGCGCGGAAAAATCTTCATGATACTGCCATTGAGCCCGACAAGAGTTCCGCAAGGACGTTGCGACTCTCAATTCAACCTGATTCGAAAGACAAGAAGCTGTGGAGCTGGTCGAGGAAGCCCGAGGACGCGGATTTCGGTAGTAGAATCGCCGGCCGGCGGCTAGGCTGTCGCCATCACGTGGAAACCGAGTCACGTTCAAGGCGCGCAATGATGGTTGTGACAAAGTCGCACGTGCCGTGACGAGACCGCGTTCATCTTGCCAAGTCTGACATGGGAGCAAACAAGGACAACTTCCAACCGCTCCCGGGCCCGACCTCCCTTCAGCCGCGAGGCTGCCTCGCATCTCGATTGCCGCCCAAAGCTGTGACTCGCACAGGACTAAGGGCACAGACTTTAGGGGGAAGCTGCCGAGGACAGCATTCCCGCCCAACGCGCTGCCCTCTGTTCCTGTTTTTCTACCTTGATGTCACGCCGTTCGCTCCGCGCTGGGCGTCTCGAGTCTCAGCCCCCCGCGAAACCCACGCCGCGCCGGGATTCCTTTCTTATTCGCCCCTCAGATTCTGACTTGCACAGGCTGGATTCGAAGGTGCGCAGTGCTTGCCAGCCTTGCTGCTGTATCCGCGCTGACACACCACAGTCGTCCCGGATGCAGACGGTTTCAAGCTGTGGAGGCCCGATGTGTCCTGTCTTCGAACGTTTCCGATACGTTGCGCCTGTGTTGATGAGGATCTGGTAGCTGTGGCCAGAGGGCAGCTCTTGCGGCAGGGAGCGGTGGTTCCGCACAGCAGACGTGTGGCGAATTCTTCTGTTGGACGCTCGGGCTGTTCCGCGCGCTCATATCACGCACCGCCCAATCTCTTCACCTGTCTCATTGCAGTGCTCACAATCTTGGGCCTTGGCAGGCTAAAACGGTACGATGGAGTGGCGGAATCGAATTGGTGCGTTGCTTGCTGTCTCCTCTCCGTGTCGGACTCACGAACCCGACGTTTAGGACCGGGTATTTCTGGCCTCGACGGATCGCATCTTCTGAGAGCAGAGCTCGCTGTTCATGGACATGGCAAATATTGCATACCATAGGGATCGATGTGTGGCATAAGGGGAACAACAAGAGAACTGCCGAGAACGCCAGAAGAATAGGAGAAAAACTGCAAATCGATAGTACAGCATGGAAGACAGCAAAGCGATATTACAGCATGCAAGACAGCAAAGCGATAGTACAGCATGGACGACAGCGATGCAATGGAGAAGATAGGGTCTTGAGGGTGTCATTCGGAACGCGCCAGAAATGGAACGGGGACATGCTCACACTAGACATTGCGCACGGGCTTTGGATTGGGGGCTTGAGTCATCCGAATCTTGAGAAACCACGAGCAGGCCTGCGCCTGCTGGTTACCGGGCCCATCTCTGCACTTGGCGAGGACCAGGAGCGCGGTGATCAAGATCGCCAGCAGGACTGCGGGCGGTCAGCAACAGGCGCCCGTGCTGAGCAGTCAGGATGGGCGACACGAACACAATCCGAAAAGAATTCCGATGAAAGTGTGCAGGGACAGCCCGCCAATGTCATCGTCACCGTCGAGCAGGGTTGGCACTTGGGACGCGGAGGTGGGCTGCATAGGCGGGCTCAGCTCAGCCGGCACAGTAAATGACATGGAGATGGCGTACCGACGCCTGCGCGACTGTTTCTGCGAACGCGCTCAGGCTGCGTGTTGCGCTCTCTGTCTGGCTCGGGTACGAGACTGCAAGGGCGGCCATGTTTAGAAGGGTGCTGAGGGTCAGAAATACAGATAGTCTCGAAGACATGATGACAAAACGTGCAGGGAGGAAGATATAGGGAAATTGGGCTGGGCATGGCGAATGCTTATATGCACTAAGTGCCAAGTACTCGGGCATACATGCTATCCTTGGGCGCTTGTCGAGATTGAGTCACTGACGAATCGACCCCAGATTAAAGAGCTATAAGGACCACAAGCTGTTGGTATGTCTTTCAGAGCTGTAAAACAATGTTATCGTTATTATTGATTCTACAAGAAAGTCTGCACCAGAAATGAAAAAGAATTGCTGTAGACCACGCGATCTGCACCGGGCAAGATATTCTGGTCGAAATCGGCGAGGAAGGAGTAGGACAGGACCTCTAGATGGTGGGGCCAAGTGTTGATCTCGTTGAAGCGGACAGCTCACAGGTCGGTTCGGTGCTCAAGAACCTGATTGCGCATGTCCTGAGTACATCGAGTGCGATGTCTACTTCGGGAAGACCCATTTCCGCACACCGTATGATCCGATCATGGATCCGCTCGTACCTCCACCACCCACCGGGGACCCCTTTGCTCCACTGCCACAGAAGAGCCGCAACGTGCATACTTGCCGCAATGTCGGTACCGCCTTTAATGAATCTCCATCCGGTGGCCGCATGAGCCTCGAGAGTCTCCGAGACCACAGCGCAAACTCTCATCATCGGTCGCTGGATCTTACGCGCATCCTCGAAGGCCCACAGCCAGCTCCCGACCACACTCAGTTCATACGGCACCTCGTATGAATTCGGAAAGAGGACTCTCGACAACCACGCTCCTCAACGTGCGACACCCCTCGAAGCGCGACTGGCTGACTTGCGTCTTGTCCTTATCGCCGCACCTGGCCGACAACAGGCATTCTCCGCACTTATGACAGGGCTCTCCATCCAATATAGACGCTCGTCTCTGACCAGGCCTTCGGTCTGAAGAGCGACTGTGGGCGTGGTCTGGCGCATCGATTGGCATGCAGGATCGCGCGGCATCACATGGGCGATGCTGTTGCTGCTGGGAGGGCAGGGATGCGACCACGGCCAACCTGGCTTTTGTTGCGCGCCAGGTATGTGTTGTGTGCTCTACTGCAGTAAGATATAGCATTATTCACAGCAATTCGAAAGCGTTGCTCGACACATAAATTATTGAAAAAGCATGGGCCCGGCTCGACGTAGCTTGGTTGTCAGTGCCGAGCAGCCTGTATCATTCCGCCGTTGGATGTGCAGGGCAATGCGAGATGATGGCCGGAGGGTATCGGTGCGCGCGTTCGCCTGCTGGATCGTGCGCGGGGACTGGCAGCACAAGGGGTTCGACGTGCTTGGGACGTGGGTTCGCACCGAATGCCATACACGCGGCGGTGACCGACACAAACAAGACTGGGCTGGGGGTATCCGTCATCAGCAGGGTGGGAAGGAGGACCGGACGCACGAAGCGCTGCTGCCATCCGGAGTGCCGTTTCTCTCGACAGGCCGTCGGACGTGCTGGACGTTGCCGCTGCGTTGGGGCTTGGGGTCGCGGATGGTCGACTTGTAGGAAGCGCGACGTCCAGGATCGCCGTCTGCAGTGTCTCGTTGAATGCCGCAAGCGATGAACTGCCGACTGTGGCCGTGGAGTAGGCAGCGTCGATTGTTACAATGCTCGAGATCGATGTCGTAGGAGCAGCGAGGACCGAAAGGGTGGCCCAATGCAAAGCAGATGCAAGCATCATCCAAAAGTTAGGGATAAAAAGAGCCACCGTCATGATCTCGCTCTGAATACGCGTGTAAGCAGAGACAGGTAGTCCGGGGAGATTTCAGACACTGATTGGTGGTGGGTCGATCGTATTTGAAGTGCTCTAGACTACACAGCCTTCACCTCTTTCCAAAGAAATGAAAGCTTGATAACGCATGCAGATTGGAACCTGGGGCTGTGTGCGTGCCATGCAGACACAGCTGGAGGTGCAAAGCGGATTAGCCCGGCGTCTATCGCCCAGCCCAGCCTGAACGGGAGTTTTCTTTTATCTCACCGGTCGTGGGGCGTGTCAGGAACTCAGAATGAGACTATCCCATGATCAGGTGGCATTCTCGCGTCAATCGCTTGAGTATCTGCTCGAAGATCTGAAGTAAATTTTCTTTCCTAGGTCCGGCACGTTTTCTGGGTCCGTCTGCCGAAATATTGAGAACGGGAGAACATGGGCAAGGATGCCGCCATGATAAAACGTGGCAAGGGCCCACGGGGTAGGTGCGCTTCACATCTTGGTGATGTATTGTAATCCGCAGCCCGTTGAAGTGCTTGCAGGCAGGCGGCGGTGTTTTTCTTTGCGGTGACTGTGGTTCTTGGAGAGCACGCCAGTCTGCCTGAGTGAAACCACTAAAGAATTGATCCTCCACGGTGCTATATCACCAGATTGCTTTGATAGATCTCGTTATGTGGTCATTGCAATAGGAACGTGTCAGACGGAGGGCGCTGAAACGGCCCGCATTCGCCGAGCATACGGTCGCAAGATCGCCAATGAGGCGTTGACACCGTTGTGGATGTACTGGCCCTGTAAGTATCTCGGATCCCGGGATACCCGTCGTCCTTCGTCACTAACACATTGCTGTCATCGATGATAGGACCCTCCACATCGCCACACATTTGTTCCGACCGAGGCTTTTTTTGGAGAAGTCCTCTTCGTCCCGGGAGGCTCTCACTATCCGGAAAGTTCGGTCCATTGCCGGATATCTCGGGATGACACCTGCCAGACAGAGTTAGCTCGATCAGAAATCTCACAGCAGACAGTTGCGCGCGCAAACAGAAGGGAATGGGCTTTCAAAATTTCACGGACTTTCTGCATGAGTCCGACTCTACCCCTTGTCGACGCGGAGAGATCACGCAAATATCTGTCGCGTGTGATGACGCGCATTTGATGCTTACACGGGAATGTCGATAGGTCATGTGACCCTGAAGGCCTCGGCGTTAGCACCAGTATTTCGAGAGAGGGGCACATCTGTCACTGCTGCTTATTTTTGAACTCGGGCTTCATATGCGCGCGCATCATTTCTTTTGTGCCTCCGGCTACTCGTGTTCATGGGCTTCCCACTAATCTCCGCGCCAAGAACAGAAACAATACTCGATACATACTTTGAAGTAGAGAACGAGATCGGTACCCGTGCAAGACATTCTGGCGTGATGCGATCAATCGTGGATCCTCCCATACTTCCACCACCCTCGGGGTGACTCATTTGCTCCACTACCACACGACAGCTGCTGCAGCGTGCATACTTGCTGCAATGTCGGAATGAGCCTTCAAAGCTTCATCCCGTGGAGGCGCCTGGCCCGCGAGTCTTCGAGGCCAACGCGCCACTTTGGACATAGGTTGCTGGATCTTTGCCCGCACTTCCGAGGTTCACAAGCAACCCCTTGTCACATTCTCTTTCGGAATCGTCTGGAACTACGCCTCCCCTGGATCTGGGACGCGCACTCTAGACAACAGCGCTCATCAAAGTGCGACCGACTGACTCGCGCCTCCTCTTTATCGCCGCGCCTGGTCAATATCTGGCACGCTCTGCACAGTCATGCGCGGCTCTCCATCCGATACCGACTCTCAATTCTTACCAGGTTTTCGGTCGGAAGGGCGACTGTGGGCGTGATCTGGCGAATCGATTCGAATGCACGGTCGCGTGGCATTGCATGGGGCGATCCGGTTGCTGCTGCGAGGCCGGGAAAATACGGCCGTATGAATCGTACGCTCGACGGAAGCAACAGATAGCATTGACTAGAGCAATATGAAAGCCTTGTACAACATCTAAACTCATTGAAAAAACGTGGATCAGGCTCGAAGTGGCTGGGCTCTCGATCAGTGCCAAGCAGCCTGCATCCTCCTGCGAGCGAATCAATGACAATCGGCGAAGGATGGCGGGACTGCACGCACGACGCTACTGCCGCACAGAGCAGCCGAACCCGACCGTGGCATGTGCGGGGCGATTCGAGATGACGGCCAGAGGTATCGGTGCGTGTGAAACCTGTGGAGGATGCCCAGCGACTGGCTGCACGTGTGGATGCTGCATAGGCTGATGGGCGCGCATGGGGCGTGGGTTTACACCGAGTGCGATGCAGGCGGTGACGATGGATATAAACAGGACTGGAGTCGGGTTCTCGTCATTGGTGTCAGAGAGGGAGAAGTGGACGCACGAAGCGCTGCGGCCATCACGAACACCGTTCGTTTCGAGAGTCCTCCGGAAGTGCTGGGGGTCATCGCGGCGCAGCGACTCGGGCTTGTGGCTGGCGCAGTATCACAAAGAGCGGCGGCCAGCTTCTCCTTCTGCAGCGTCTCCTTGACTCGTCCCAGCGGTGAGCTGTCGATCGTGAGCGCGGAGTGTGTGGCGTTGATTGTTGTCATATTCGTGATCGAAGACGCCGGAGCGGCGAGGGCCCAAAACGTAGCCCAATGTAGAGCGAGGACAGATAACATCCAAGTTCGTAGCGCGCATAGACGCATAGTTGTTATTTCGCTCTGAGAGTAGAAGTCAGGATAGCGGAGTAACTTGGAAACGTTGCAGACCATGGCCGATTTCGGGTCGGTCCTATTTGTAGTGCGAATGGCCTCGCTACGGTGCACAGCTTTGACCTCTTATTCTTACACCTGGAAAATCGACTTGACAGTCAGAGTTGACGGGTGCAATACATCACTTTACGGAACCCTAATTATGGAAAAAATTCTATACAGCTTTGCATGTGGGGAGCATCCTCATCTCTGACAACTACGGCACTAACGGAGTAAATAACGAGGATACACATGCAGGGTGGCGGGACAGATTCTTTGGCCCCAACTCTTCAGCGCGGGTTTCGATCAACGACGTGCATGACAGTACCATCCCCACCTGGAGGTATGGCAGACTGAGATAGACATACGAAGGCGCAAACGCGTTACCGCAGGCACATTGCTGCTCCCCTGGTAACAAACATTGAGATGCTCAAACATCGCAGTCGCAGCGAACTCTACAGCTTCCTCGGGAAACCGACCATTTCAAGCTCTTATCGATCGCCAAAACGATTATCGCATTGAACAGCAGCAGCCATCTTCTGAGGAATCGTCGATACCCAGATCTTTATTGTCGAATCGCGGTCCTACGATGGGTGTTACTCTGCACGGGGGAAATTTTCACAGCCTTTCCTGGACCGCACACCGCTTCTCGGTCCAACTGTGCGAGCTTTTGACAGGACACACGTATGGAGGCCGGGAACTATATGCTGATAAACGGAGGACGTATCACTGATACGCGATAGTTTGCCGACATAGGATCAATTTCATGATGCGCTCCATGTCATGATGCGCCTATCTGGACGGCTGAAAACGTTATACTAATAACCGATGTCTGAATCGTGGATGGCCGCTCGGCAGATATTGATCAGATGATTGACGCAATGATCAAGACCCCAGGTAGCCGACTATCGCAATATCGCAACATCGTAATATTCGAAAAGCGCAACATTCGAGATAGGATCAGCGGCCGGGTCGCCGGCGCGAGCAGGCTCGTCGCAAGTCCGGACTCCCAGGCGACATTCCAGGGCAGCGGTTCGTACGTCGTGTTCGACTGGGGAAGGAGGTGCGCGGCCTCCCTGATACAGCGCCGTCGAGGGTCAATTCACACACCCATACTGTAGCTTGGGGGGATCCTGTCGCTGACGATCAACAACGCGACGGCCCAGTCGCAGTTCTCACTGTCGTTCACCGAGTCCGCGGAGTTCATCAGCCCGCTCAAGTTGGACGACTCGTGCCAGCCCGCACGGCTGCAGAACTGGGACAGAATCCAGACGTTCCACGTGCCGCGAGCCACGGGGCTGCTGACGCAGACCGTGGGACAGCAGCGCGGCGGGTTCCGCTTCCTGACGATTGTGAGTGCGAGCGCGGACCCGCTGACGATCTCGAACATCTCGCTGGCGATCACGTTCATGCCCCACTGGGATGATCTCAGGGCGTACCCGGGCTACTTCTTTGCACCTGACCCCGGGTTCCACGACATCGACTTCCTCACGAAGATCTGGTACGCCGGTGCGTCATCGCCTGTTTGCTGGCTGATGTGGCAGAGCGTGGCGTGGGTGGGGGCTGACCGCTAGCAGGCACTATAGGGTGCAGACCAACACAATCCCTCCCCACACGGCGCGACAGGAGCCGTGCCCAGCAGGAGGTTCGTGTCGGCGTGGATCTGAATTTTGGACTCAAACTGTGCGATCACATTTGTAGGTGGCTGGTCCAACGATGCCTTGGGAGGAGCTGCCACTGGGCCTATCCTCGTCGATGGTGCAAAACGCGACAGGTGAGGAATGGTCGGTCGCGATCTGTGTGTGCAATCCCTGCTGATGACATTGGTACTGTCAGGAACATCTGGCCAGGTAACCCCTCATGCTCATGGACGCGATCTAACCCTCGGACTCATGCGACGGATCAGGCGACTGCGGCATCTCCACACACACGGAGCTCGTCGCGCTGAGCGACATGGAGCCGACCAAGAACTCGTTGATGGTGATGTTCCGCACGCAAAACCTGACGACTGGCGCGCTGCAGTACTCCGGGCCGCCGCTGAACAACCAGGGAAGCGACACGTACATCTCGTGGTCGCTCATTGGGACGCACAACTACTTCCTGTACACGGGCGACCTCGATTTCATCAAGTCTGTCTGGGCGAACTACACCAAGGCGGTTGGCTTCCTTGAGGGCCAGGTGGACTTGACCGGCCTGATGAACGTCTCGTCTGCGCTCTCGAACGACTGGGGCAGGGCCAGCGGCGCCGGACACAACTCTGCGGCAAACGCGTTGCTTTATCGCGTGAGGATTGATTTCTGTCTCTCGCATCATGTATCCGCGCTCATCAAGCTCGTAGACGCTCGTCACCACGGCGGACCTGGCGACGCATCTCGGCAATGTCTCCCTCCCCGCCACATACCTCGCCAACGCGACCAAGATCAAAACTGCGTTCAACAGCCTGCTGTGGGACGCCGCGGCGGGCCTGTTCCGCAGCAACGACCTGCCGAGGAGCATCCACCCGCAGGACGGCAACGCGCTCGCGGTCCTGTACAACCTCACGACATCGGACGCACAGAACAAGGCCGTGAGCGCCGGGCTGATGAAGTTCTGGACGCCCATCAGGCCGTGGCTTCGAGGTGCGTGTTGCGCTGGTGGTTTGTGGTTTGCGTGTCACCTGCGCGACAGATCCAAGCGCATTTTGTGGCCGGCAAGGGCGAGCGGGCAATTGATCTGATCGAGCGCGAGTGGGGGTACATGCTGGAAACCAACTTGAGTGTCAAGTCGCCGCTGCTAGAGGGCTTCTCGGCCAACGGATCGCTCGGGTGCGTGTCGTATCAATCAGCTGCGGCAAGCTGTTGGTCCTGATCTGTACGCATGGTTCTCGGATGAGGAAGACTCCCGCGAAAATGATTAGTGAATTACAGTAATTACATGCTCACTACGCTATCTCGAATATTACACTATCTTGAATGTTGCGCTTTTCGAATATTACGATGTTGCGATATTGCGATAGTCGGCTACCTGGGGTCTTGATCATTGCGTCAATCATCTGATCAATATCTGCCGAGCGGCCATCCACGATTCAGACATCGGTCATTAGTATAACGTTTTCAGCCGTCCAGATAGAGCGCATCATGACATGGAGCGCATCATGAAATTGATCCTATGTCGGCAAACTATCGCGTATCAGTGATACGTCCTCCGTTTATCAGCATATAGTTCCCGGCCTCCATACACACGGGGCGCGTGTGCCTCAGACTAAAGTTCTCCCACGATAGGACAGATGCGACAAGGGCTTTAATCTATCTGTAGTGTATTGTGTAGCAACTCGCTGGTCTTGGCGCGCAGGCCATTGGGCTGCGATGGGTGGCGATATTTGAGGTAAAGGCCAGAATAGATCACCTCTTGGTGAGTAAAGGAACTGAGTGTTGCTGGATATGCGGATCTTGCTACCCGGGCATTGGTATGTGGGGTGCCCTACTGGCGTGCGCAGTAACATTCCGCAGTACCTGGCGCACGAAAAACATGCGTTGCCAAGTATATTAACATGCCATCCACAGATCTTCAGGAGCACAGCTTTGGTATGTGCGCACACTAATGTTCAGGGTGAGCTTCGATCACCAGAGACGAGTATCTCGTTGCTGACTCATTCTGTTGATGATGAATAGCTGTCCATGCATACGTCACTTCCAAGGCCATTCTTCTGGAAAATTCTGTCCATTCTGGGAGATCAACGGCTGCCCATCAGCCGGACCGAGTTATATTTGTGAAATTTCGAGCATCGGACTGTGCTGCAAATATAAGAAGGAGAAAGAGAGCTCAAAAAGCTCATTATGTCTCTGACAGAGTCTCTATCTACCTCCTTTCAATGTCAGAAGTTCACCGGCATATTTATCGCGTGTGATGACCCGCGTTTTGATGACCACTTAAGAAATGACATAGGTCATGTGACCGCGATGCTTTGGCGCGCTAATGGTCCACGTGCTGCTAGATGGCAACTGATCCATCATCTGTCACTCCTGCTTTTCTGCAGTAGTCGCCTTTGTTTTGGATAAGAACCCCAGCATATGCGTACACGGATCATTTCTTCTGTACTCCGTGTTCATTGACTTCCCACTCATCTCCGTCCCCCCAAAAAAAACTCGATATAGAATATGAGGTCTGTACCAGGCAAGATAGTTCCTCGAAATCTGCGAGCAAGGTCTGATTGACGGCCTGGCGCTGATATGGTTGGAGCGGACAACTCACAGGTTCATTTGGTGCTCTAGTCCTCGATGGCGCAAGTCCCGAGTATACTGCGCTCAATGTCTGCTTCGGGAAGACTGTTTTTGGCACTGCGCGATGCGATCAGTCTTGTAACCCCCCACTTACTTCCACTACCCACGGGCCATCTGTCTGCTTCGCTACCAAGGAATAGCTGCAGCGAACATGCTTGCCGCAATGCTAGCATCATCTACAATGAGCCTCCATCCGTCGACGGCGTCAGCCCCGCAAATCTCGGCAACCACCAAAGCGCAAAGTCGGAGATCGGTCGCTGGATCTTTTCCTACTCCCCCATGGTCTACGGACAGCTCCTTGCCACAGTCGCCTTCGGACTCGGCTGAAACGGCGACGAGTCTGTATCCGGGACCGCGCACTTTACAACAACCACGCTCCTCGAAGCGCGAGCGAGCGGCTGACTCGCATCTTGTTCTCATCCCCTCGCCTAGTCGACATCATGCTTTCTGCGCACACTTTCCCGAGGCCCTCCATCCGATACCGACTCTCATTTCTCACCGGGTGGGCGTTCGGAAGGGCGACTGTTGCGGGCCTCGAAGGTACGCGCAGCAGCAGCAGCAGCGGTGTTAGAGGCGGTGTTAACCGATCGCAGGCGAGCAGAAGGACGGGGTCAACAAGCGTATCGACGGACTGAGCGGCGGATACGGATCGATCTTGTTCTGGGAGGACCAGGCCGTCGTCGAGGGCTTCGCGGCGCGTGGTCTGGGGAATCGATCGGAATGCAGGGTCGCGTGGGATTGCATGGGGCTATCTTGTTGCTGCTGGAAGGGCGGGGATTCGATCATGGCCGACTTGGCTTCTGTTGTGCACCAGGTATGTGTTGTGCGTTCTACGAAAGCAACGGATAGCATTGACCACAGCGATACGAAAGCGGTGCTCGACAAATAAATTATTGAAAAAAGATAGGCCTGGCTCGAAGCAGCTTGACTGTGAGTGCCGAGCAGCTTCTATCATCCTGCGAGCGGATCAATGGCAATCACGAGGGACGCTGGGACTACACGCACGACGCTACTCCCGCACAGAGTAGCCGAATCCGACCGTTGCGTGTGCAAGGCGATTCGGGATGACGGCCAGAGGTATCGGTGCGTGTGAAACCTGTGGAGGATGCCCAGCGACTGGCTGCACAGGCGGATGGGCGCGCATGCGACGGGGGTTGACACCTAATGCGATGCACGCGGTGACGATGGATATAAACAGGACTGGAGTCGGATTACCGTCATCAGTCAGAGAGGGAACGAGGAGTGGACGCACAAAGCGCTGCGGCCATCTCGAACACCGTTCGTTTCGACAGGCCTCCGGAAGTGCTGGGGGTCATCGCGGTGTTGGGGTCGGGGGTTGCGGCTGGTCCAGTGTCACAAAGTGTGGCATCCAGCTCCTCCTTCTGCAGCGTCTCACTGACTTCTCCGAGCGGTGAACTCTCAATCGTGAGCGCGGAGTGCGCGGGCCCGTTGCTTGTTGTCATACTCGGGGTTGAGAGCGCGCAGTCCGGGAGGACCATCAGTGTGGCCGAGCGAGATGCGAGTAGAAAGATAGTGACAAGTACAAGCCCAACGAAGGATTTGCGCATGATGACTGTTTTCGTGTCAAGGAGAGTCGTAACAATACGGAGATGGAGATTGAGGATGCCCGGCGAAATGACCAACATACATAGGTCTGTTTTTGAAGGTCAAAAGCTGTAGGCCTCACACAGCTATCGTGCTGTATCTCGCCATTACAGATCGGGATTTGGGATGACGTAGGCAAAAAGCGAGTGGGCAATTGTTCAGCAATGATGACTCAGGTGTTCATCCCACAGTGCTGTATTCCCAGTTTGCACTGCTTTACTCGGGCGAGTCACTGATATGTGCAATAGGATCCCGCAAGCTCCATGACATTCGCGGTGAAAACGAGATCCGACATGGCGAATGTCAGATCACCAATAATACTTTGAACTAACCATGGAATGGCTGACGCTGTGAGTACCGCGGATCTCGATGATAATCAATGAATCTAAGTGTGGATTCGATTTTGTGGGGGCAGAGTACCACGGATCGTGGGGTACAGCTATCTACGCGTCCACCTGATCTCACGAGGTCTCGAGAGTCAGAAGACAGACCAGGCCTGGTCATCGGCACATAGCCTATCTTGATGCGCACAGCTGTTCTTAGCATGATTATGAGGATTCTGAAAAGATCTAGACCTGGGGACATTCTGGCTATTCTGGGAGATCAGCGGCAACGGATCCGCCGGATCCCATTTTGTTCGGCGAATTTTAGGCAGAAGTCTGTCATGTGCATGCACGACAGCGGCCGCGATTTGAGTTCCTCTCCTTTCTCATGATTCAAGACCTAAACGCTCTCGTGTCGGGATCACATGAAGATTTTATCGCGTCTGATGTCCACATGCGAGATGTCATCTGGTCATGTGACCGTGCAGGCGTCGGCACGCTGATGGCCCGTATGTTCCGAGAAGACAACAGCATCCATCATCTGTCACTCCTGTGTGATCCTAGGTGATCATCTAGTGGTCGGCGCCAAGAGGCGCCGAATGGTGCTTGGTTGGAAGATCATGTTCTCTGATGGGATGGTGAGAGCAAGAGATTCGAATCCAGGGATCATCTTGCGCCGACTTGACATCACTCGGCTGCTCGTCATCAGCACATTCTCGATGCCTTGCAGTGCTCAACTCTAATCCTTGTCTTTGTTTTTTTTGATATCGAGAGAAAGCTGTGCAATTACAATTACGCTATGAATAACGCACAAACGAGTGGCAGAAAAAGGCTTGCCTTTGCTGCTGTCAATTGCCACTATTCGTGCCTGCCAGATTGCCTCCTGATTCGGGGTGTGGTGTGTCCGTGGGAACACTGGGCAGTGATCTTCCAATCACGCACTTCTTGGCTGCTGCTGTTTTTGAAGAAAGACCCAGGCTTCATACGCGTGCAGGCAACATTTCTCCTGTACCTTCGACTCGATGATTCCCCCGTACGTTCCAAAGCGGGAAGGAGTCACCACACCGCCTTCGGAACCTGAGACGTCAAACGCGTTTGGGAGCCCGGGTGCCATTTATCTCGAGATGGAGTTGGCTGTACTGTTTCCTCCATTTGATAGATGTGCCTGTGATGCCGGGCCTGGTATCCGCAGTTTGGGCACTTGAGTGCAGGTGCTTCGAGGCCAGAGTATAAAGGGCTGTTCTACAGGTAGATCCCTACAGGTAGATCCGACCGCTCTTCCAAGAAGACAGCAACGAGACTGGGATGACTTCAGAACAAGACTGCGGTGGGAATCTTCGGGTGCAGTCTCTTCGTGCTGAGTAACACTTACACCCTCCTGCTGAAACCATCTGGCAGCCCGAACTGCGTGAAATCATCCAATCTCTTTTGGATGCGGTTGGCTACGTCTCGCCTCGCGAGAAGATGGAGCCCACAAACTTGATTGAGCGCATCCGCAACGCTTTGAACGTGAAGATCAGAAGCAGCTACCGAGGGACGGAGGATTGTGACCTAGATGTGGATTCGATCTCAAAGAAGGCGGCCTCAGTCGTTGAGGTGAGTGAGTCATTGATATCTTCGGCTTTTGCGCTGAATTCGACGGAGTTCTTCTACTTTGACCATGGCTTCGAGCAAAAGATGTCGTTCGGGCTATATGCCTGGTGCGTCAGCTGGCATTTGCGTCGCTGTAACTAGGGTTCACCTCAGTTACCACCGCCAACCCCCCATATAGACCCCGCGGGGGACCTCCTGGGTACCCTTAGACGTAGCTCTATGGGTACCCAGGAGGTCCCCCCCCGCGGGGGTACAGGGGGCAGCTGGCCATTTTGGGGCAGGGGGATGGGCGGGGGTCAGGACGGGGGTCAGGACGGGGGTGCCCATACATACCATGTGACTTGTCCATAAGAGCGGGCAGCTGGGCGGGAAAAAAAAAATCAATCACATGATGCACCAAATGGGCGGGATGGCGGGAAAATCACGTGATGAGCTGCAGGAAAAATTTCAAAATGGCGGGGGTTGGCAGGGGCGTTGGCGGGGGCGCTACCGCCCCTCCCGCACACTGCAGCGGGCAGTGGGCGCATTATCACGTGACTTTTTGGGGGCCCCTTTTTGCACCATTTGGCATGATTTTGGAGGTGCTGCTTGATAGATTGCATGTTGTGGCAGACAGTGGGCGCAAAATCACGTGATTTTCCGCCAAAAAAAAATGGAAGCCTCTCTAAATCATCCCAGTATAATTTCCATAGGTAAATACACTAATTGACCATGCATTTGAGCTTAGAAAACCCCAAATGCACCCTGCACAATAGGATTGTTGATGCGCTTGATCCCATCATCTGGCGGGGTCTGCCGCGGGGTCAGTCTGGCATATTCTATATTTGACCTCCTTTAGCCGTAGCAGTAGTGCTGCTGACCACCAGGGCAAGAATACAAACATTTATGAAATATCTTATCAAGGTAGACAAAGCCAATAGGGAAGGTGAAGATGTGTAACTGGATATTGCAATTGATGCAGGGCCCAGTGCGGGGTCTGGTGCGGGGTCTGGTGCGGGGTCTGATGCGGGGTCTGGTGGGGGAGCAGGGGCAGGGGTGGATTACACAAAATTTTGATGTATCTACTCTGGCTAGGGTTGTAGAATATCACGTAACTTTTCTCTATTTTGGCAGGGAATGGGGGATAAAGATACACAACATTGCCCGCATGTTTTGGCTGGGTCTCCAGGTCAAGTCATGTGATTTACCAATGTTTCGGTGGGGGGTAGGAGATTAAAGCATGGTTTTGCCAGTACATTTTGGTGGAGTTTGTGGCTTCAAAAGATGCTAACATATTAAAAAATGCGCAACTACATGTGTTCAGCAAATCCCCAAGGGGGTTGTCCAGTCACAGCTACATTGATCAGCAGGAATAGTCATGGCTACTGCTCCCCTTCCGAACAGCTGAAGTGGTCCTCCCGCTTTTTAAGGATGACTGCATCTCCAATGTTTCACTCTCTTCAATAGCATATTTGATACAGCTGTTACAAGCATCATTTGCTGGATTGAATATAACCTGTGAACATCACATTGAGACACTGTAATGAGTGTGCTAATACACAGAACCCTGACAAAGAATTGCGCAGAAACCTTGTGAATACAATTCTTGCAGGGGATTGGGCGGGGTTGACTGCGGGGGTGCGCCAGCCCCTGCTGGCCAATCAAATGTGGAGCGACCAGATGAACACACATAGAAACACATTCCCATGCTTTTATACTGCAGCCCAAGCAACTTCATGGTTACCTCTACCCAATTGCAACAAAGGAACTCGACTGCTCTTGTTTCTGGGCGACAATTGATTTTACAAGCTTGGGTGGGTTTTGCACGTTCCAGTGAGAACAGAGGTTGTCTGGTAGGAGGTAGGGGACCGAAACATTGTTAGAAACGATATTCAAGATGACCAGAGGCTCACATCTCTTTAAACTGGCCCGTATCCCACATTATAAATCACACTATACTTTGGATTTATTTTGTATTTTTGAATCGTTACAGGGCCCAGCACTCCCCAGATTTTGTTCAGGCATTGCCAAAGGGTGTATCCTTCGGTTGTGTGAAGTTGGGCCCTTGCAGAAAATATATTTTGCGCAATATGCAAAGTGAACCATGTTGAAGTGTTCTCTATATAGGAACATTGAGTCACTATGAGCTGTTTCCATGTTTCGAATTTCGGGCTGACAGAGGACATGAAGTGGCATTATATTCAACAAGAACAGCATAAGGAGACATAATTCCGATGGTTTTTAGCAGCATATATGTAAAAACAGTCTCAGAAGAGCAAAACATAGTTAGGTACGACGTTTATACAGGTCCTGATTGGCTACTGACTTGATGTGTTCCGGGCTGTCACTTTACATAATATTACATATTCGGAGATGGCAGGGGCTGAGGCACCGGTGTGGCGGGGGTGATGGCGGGGGTCAATCAGTGGCAGGGTAGTTGCGGGGGTGCTGGCGGGGGGGCGGGGGTGAAGGCGGGGGTGCAGGCAGGTGGTCATGGCTGGGGTGGGTAGAGACTCATTGGTAAAAACAATCAGCCATGTGTTTGCAGTTGGTCTTCCAAAAGATACAAGCCAAGACACAAGTTGTTAAGAGTTTACATGTCAAATTTGCACTGATAACCAAGCTCTGACTATTGTGGGACAACTTGCCAGTAAATACATCCTCTCACATCACACCGAGTAATGAATATAGTTCACCTCAAATCCACTCTATTTAATGAATTCATGCGGAAACCCAAGCAGATCGCTTGCAAGGGAACACACAAGTTTCAGACCTCAAGTGCATTCAGCCAGGAAGGGGGGGATGAGATGTGTACCTAATATGTTCTATTACAAGCTCCAAAAATGGATACCACTGTGCTACACATATATATTAAATGGGTAAAGCAAACAATCAATGAGTGGAGTGTGGACCCTGGTCTGCCAATCTACTATGCCACCCATCCTGCCAGCCAAAAAATGAGAAAATCACATGTTCTGCTTGACTTCACATGCCATGGATTATATAGGTAACATCATCCATTAATCTCCTACCCCCCACCGAAACATTGGTAAATCACATGACTTGACCTGGAGACCCAGCCAAAACATGCGGGCAATGTTGTGTATCTTTATCCCCCATTCCCTGCCAAAATAGAGAAAAGTTACGTGATATTCTACAACCCTAGCCAGAGTAGATACATCAAAATTTTGTGTAATCCACCCCTGCCCCTGCTCCCCCACCAGACCCCGCATCAGACCCCGCACCAGACCCCGCACCAGACCCCGCACTGGGCCCTGCATCAATTGCAATATCCAGTTACACATCTTCACCTTCCCTATTGGCTTTGTCTACCTTGATAAGATATTTCATAAATGTTTGTATTCTTGCCCTGGTGGTCAGCAGCACTACTGCTACGGCTAAAGGAGGTCAAATATAGAATATGCCAGACTGACCCCGCGGCAGACCCCGCCAGATGATGGGATCAAGCGCATCAACAATCCTATTGTGCAGGGTGCATTTGGGGTTTTCTAAGCTCAAATGCATGGTCAATTAGTGTATTTACCTATGGAAATTATACTGGGATGATTTAGAGAGGCTTCCATTTTTTTTTTTGGCGGAAAATCACGTGATTTTGCGCCCACTGTCTGCCACAACATGCAATCTATCAAGCAGCACCTCCAAAATCATGCCAAATGGTGCAAAAAGGGGCCCCCAAAAAGTCACGTGATAATGCGCCCACTGCCCGCTGCAGTGTGCGGGAGGGGCGGTAGCGCCCCCGCCAACGCCCCTGCCAACCCCCGCCATTTTGAAATTTTTCCTGCAGCTCATCACGTGATTTTCCCGCCATCCCGCCCATTTGGTGCATCATGTGATTGATTTTTTTTTTCCCGCCCAGCTGCCCGCTCTTATGGACAAGTCACATGGTATGTATGGGCACCCCCGTCCTGACCCCCGTCCTGACCCCCGCCCATCCCCCTGCCCCAAAATGGCCAGCTGCCCCCTGTACCCCCGCGGGGGGGGACCTCCTGGGTACCCATAGAGCTACGTCTAAGGGTACCCAGGAGGTCCCCCGCGGGGTCTATATGGGGGGTTGGCGGTGGTAACTGAGGTGCTAGGGTTCAGCTTGGTCGCAGGTTTTTCTTCTACATCGATGACATCGCGTCCGGATCCGCGGATATCCTCGAGAACTTCCACCGGGCCCTTCTCCAGGGCAAAGCTGAGCTCCTGCCTGCGCCGCTCGCAAGGTTCCCCTCGGTCCTGGCATCGCTCTACGACCACTGGGACCCGCTGGCCGCAGCGATGATGGCCACATCTGCTCTCGACTTCATCACTGGGACAGCGCTCGAGCAGCGCCGACACGTGGTAGCCATGGAGCCAAGTGTTCACGCACCAAATTGGCCGGGCTTTCTACGGACGAAGAGCGGGATGGCGACAGGGTTCTCGTGTGCTGCGTTTCCCCGCTCGGATGTGCCGGGTGTCGCTTCCTACATCCAGGCGCTTCCGGACATGGACCAGCTCATGTGCCTAACGAATGATATTCTCTCGTGTGTTTGTCCAATGAGCTCTCATCTGGACTGGCTCGCTAATCAAATCCCAGCTACTACAAAGAAGAGCTTGCGGGAGAGACGATGGGCTTTGTTCCTCTCACAGCCAGGATCACGGGCAAGTCCCCGTTCGCGGTGCTTCGGAACATGGTTCAGGAGGTCAGGGAGCTGCACCACAGAATTGCTGCGACACTCAGCGGGGATGACGATACACTTCAAAAATGGCGTACCCTCGAGCAGGGATTCGTGTCAGTGCTGTGTCTCTACAGATCAGTTTCAAAAGAAAACTTATTAGACGGCAGGGCATGGCATCTTGCGATTGACCGGTTCAGGCTGAGCTCTGATTACGGCTTTGTATGGTGATGTTGGATTGTATCAGGTGCCCCAAACCGGAACTCCTACATGTCCTGTTTTGATGCTAGTTCACGCACAAAATTCAAAGTCTAACACCGCGTGTTCTGTGTTTGAGTTTCTCACACAAATGAGCCGGTTAAAGGAAGCAGGTACCTGCAGAATAAAAAATTGGAATCGAGGTATCTGGCCAAAATTATTTCCCCGGCCCATATCGTAGCTCAGAATTATTGGGCCAATTTTTCTCAAGGATTGAAACCCGCCGAGGAAGAAACAGCCAGTTTCCCAATATACCCTAGAATCTATTTTGGAAGTTCACACAACGGCACCGTGGTTCATGGCCGTAATACCCTGATATACTCTCTTCAAGCATAGGAATGAAATTTCATGAGAATGTCACAAAGCTTTGGATCTCGTCCAGCAGTAGGAGAAACAGGTGTCCCCAGAGGACTTTGAAATAAGCGGATCTGGTTTATTGGTTGGGAATTCTTTCTCGGTACTTTTGCACCATGGTCAGGCTCCAGTCAGGTTCAACACACCTCAGTTACCACCGCCATCACCCGGTTGCACCCCCGCGGGGGTCCTACTGGGTACCCTCAGACGTAGCTCTGAGGGTACCTAACAGGTACCCCCCTGCGGGGCCCGCGGGGGGGATTTGGTCCATTTGGGGGCGGGGGCATATGCGGGGGTCAGCAGGGGGGGGGGGTGAACGAAAATATATACATGTGACTTGTCTACATCTGTAAGAGCGGGTAGCTGGGCGGGAAAAAAAAATCAATCACGTGGAAGCACCGAGCGGGCGGGATGGCGGGCGAAAAAAGCACGTGACAGATGGAACCAAAAATTTTAAAACGCTGGCGGGGGCTGGCGGGGGTGCGGGCGGGGTCATTACCGATCCCCCGCATGCCACGGCGGGTGGTGGGCGCATATTCACGTGACTTCATCCCGGCCATTTTGCCACCATTTGGTCGGGTTTTTGCATGCTCTCCACAATGGCGCACAATGCAGCGGATGGCGGCCAAAACGGTCACGTGACTGGGCGCAAAAAAAACCAAATGGCTGCCGGAAAAAATTCCGATGCTATCCCAATTGTGTCTAGCTTCGATAATTAAGAAAGTGAAGCGCTGAGCGCAAAATGCCCGCCGCACTGCGGTAATGATGGGAATGTTCCCATCATTTTGCGGGGTCACCCGTGCGGTTGATCAGTTCCATGTTTAACCACCACTCATGCTACGGTGATGCCGCCTTCTTTGACAAATCACTCATGTATTTTCTCATGAAGGTCCTCCTTGGCTCTTTATCCCAGGATGCCCCCCAAACAGCCACCACCAAGAAAGCAGACAGTAAGACTTTCAGGGCAAAGCCTTCGACCCACCAGTCCAGTAAAGGGACGGCACAAGCTCCGAAACGTGCTGACAATCCCCATGGGCCGTAACGCTCGTGCAAATCGTCTTGCTCAAAAGATGAATTCCCTGCTTGACCCAGAGCCACCAGAATCGGTGGCACAGGCCTCTGGACTCGGGAAAGAGCAAAATACAATGCTTAAAGATCAAATGGAAGTGGATGAAACCAATATGACGGGCGAAGATGTGTGGGAAGACATGGCGTCAGATGCAGGGGCTGCCGCGGGGTCTGCCGCGGGGTCTGCCGCGGGGTTGGGTGTGGGGGCTGGACTGCCGCCATACATTCCAGAGATTCTTGCAAGGCCCCATGGTCTTCAAAGGAAACCACGTGCTACACAAGCCTCTTCTGTCTGGATCCATCTCATTCCTGACCTTGCCCTCTCTCTCCTGGCATTTCGGAAATCATCTTTTGCATGCCCACCCACATCTCTTGCTGCAACCATCTATCAAAACTGTGACAACCTTTCCTGTACCCAAAATAAAATTCGGGTTCTATGTCTCCACATTGCACGTATGTTTCGAATTTCTTCTTGCCAGATCTTGTCTGACAAATTACCAGATTTTCAACATATCGATGTGCAAGCATGTTCTTGTGTTTCACCTGCCACTGTCCTACTGGAACATGGTGCTCTCGCCACCTCACCTAGCAAGCCACAGATTGCTGTTGCAGTGAATACATTGGAAATATACCAAGCGTTATTTGAACGCTCCTGCATTGCGATTCAAGCATTCACCAATGCCCTGACAACCCTCTATAACACCAGAGGATTCGAGCTCATGTCCAAGACCGTAAGTTGCTTCTTTCCACCTGCTTTTCGCAATAAACATCTGATATACACCCTAGTTTGATGGCGAACATGCTACTGATCCTCTACGACAAGCCCTCTCCCAGGCTGTGCATGTGTACAGCAGCATCCAGCGGCATATCCGAAAAATGGTCAATGATGCCTTGGCCACGGAATATAGTCAAATCAACACCAGATTATCTTCCACGGATTCCATAGCTTCCATCTACAAAAGTTCCCCCGAACATGCAGAGTCATCTCCATCAGTCTCGATGACAGGACCTTGCCAGGCGTCCATGTCAGATGCACCCCCCGCTGCACCCCCTGCTGGGCATCCCGTGGCACCCCCCGCCGCACCCCCCGCTGCACCCCCCGCTGCACCCCCCGCCGCAACCCCCGCCTCGTTCATCCCTGCCAACCGCACCATTGAATCTGATGACCAGTTTTCACTGATTCCTGGATCTGCAAATAGAGTCCTACAAAGTCGGTGTCCTTCGTGCTTCTCCCTGAAGGAATGGGGCCGTCCACTTGCTATGTTCGATTTTTGTTCAAACCCTGATCAGCAGTGACTGACATGTTTTGCTCAGTGGTGGGGATGTACAGTTTGGTGCTGATGGTTGCTTCAACTATCGCCATCTCCGCGCTGCTGGCAACGGACCGTCCTTGTTCAGTCAGGAGTACTTCTTGACACCTGAAGAGGTTCACAAGGTCAAAGAAACTGTGCTTTTGGCAAGGAAATCTCCGAAGCCCCTAAAAGAGTTTCCAATTTCTGCTGATATTGTGGAGGCCTGTGGAGAGTCATGGACTGCTGCAAATGAGAACAAACAAAAGGGGGACCCAAAGCGCTATGATTCCACTGGCATCTTTGCACTGACATGTCGTCATTCGCAAGTCCTGTTCATGTGTGACATAGACACACCAGGAGAGCAGCAGCACTACATAATTGCGCTCTTGGAGAAGGTGGCTTCACTGCTGCCATCCAATGCGACCATTACACAATGCTATGATATTGGTTGTGTTCTTGACCGGAGTAACAATCTGGTGCGTGCATTTCCATTCATGGACTGCTTTCTCCGCCACCATCACATATCTTAACCCGCTGCGACCCCGCGGCGACCCCCGCCGCACCCCCCGCCGCACCCCCTTCTGCACCCCCTCTTGCACCCCCTGCCGCACCCCCGCTACAGAGTCCATAACAATGCTGACTATTCTCTGAAGTTCCCTATCCTTTCTGCCCATCTGCGATCTCGTGTATCATTCTCTCTGAATGTGATGCATGCATTTGGTCATCAATGGGTCTGCCAATTGATTTTCAACCCACGCATGAAGTCGGGTATGGGTCTTACTGATTCAGAAGGTGTAGAAAGACTTTGGTCCAGGATACGAAGGTTAATTCCTCTGACTCGAAATCAATGGGTATCTTCTTTAAATCCTTTTTTAATCGAGGATTCTGAAACATATGCAGGCTGCGCGTCGAATAGCCACCCTGGATGAATTTGTTTCGTTTGTCAATCGTGAAGGCATCACCAGTCTGGGGAGTTGGATTGAACGGCAACGAAATAAGAACATTCCACAGAAATATAATCAAGCAACACGACGGATCAGCACTGCAGGCGTGACCATTGTGGATTTGCGATCTCACTGGCAGGCTCAGCTGACCGCCCAGGTATCACTTCAGTCCAGTATATCATTTCCCATCATAAAAAATTTGCTCTCAACACGGTGTTACAGGCCCACCTGTTCGTGTCCAACGCGAGCTGGGCAAGATAGTCAGCCTTCAAAATCAAATCGAAGATATCGATGACACTCTGGAGCAACTCCAGAAGACCATTGACGATCGACAGAGCTCTAATTCAGCGCACATTGCGATCAAAGATCTGCAATGCACTCATAGCAAGCTTAGTGAACAAGCTGTGCATCTGTACACTTCCCTTGACCTGGAGACTCATTACCCAGAACTGGCTGGACTTCCCTTTGAATTTGTTCAAACACTGCTGCTGATGAGGGATCTCAAAATACAGATACGAAAACAAGCGATTGGAACATTCCTAGAATGGGAGAATTTAGACCGTGCTGTCCAAGGACGTCGGGAGCCACTGGGTAAGTTCCTTTCCATGCACCCCGCGCGCACCCCCGCGCGCACCCCCCGCGCGCAGCCCCCGCGCACCCCCCGCCGCACCCCCCGCCGCACCCCATGCGCACTCGTCACAACACTGACATGTTTCCATATGTAATCTAGGTACAAAGCTTCATCAAGCAGCTCGGAAGGCCCTTTCAAAACGTCAGCCCACGCTGCATCGTCTAATCGACAAGTTCAACTCCTTTTGCTCTCGACTGGAAGAAATTCAGCCCCCACACTGCTCTGTTCCTATCCCTCTCCCACTGCCTACCAAACTGAACGAGCTTAAGTCTCACACCAACCTCTTCGAAGATATATGGATCACTCCCTCCGAGGGGGGTGTTCCATTGTGGCTGTGTGATGAGAATGTCCGGCAGGGAATTTCCAGTCTCCATGTACTTGATCGCTGTCATGAGGAAGACCTCCGCCTGTCCCGAGAGAGTGAAAATATGCTACGCTGGATTGATCAGGAGTCTTTGCTGCTCGCGTCGGCCAAGGAGCGCCACTCGAGTGCGTTGCTGTTTATTCTGTGACAAGTTTCCTGACATTTCTTACACCAGATCATATTCTGCACCATGAGCTTGAACAAGAAGCCAAATTCCTCTCGCGTGTTTCTTCTAGATGGCGTCGTCAGTTGCAAATTCCACAACCTCTGCTTCTGGCCATTGATCCATGGTTGACCACCCACTCGCAAAATTCTGCCCCTGCGGCACCCCCTGCGGCACCCCCCGCGGCATCCCCCGCGGCACCCCCCGTTGCACCCCCTGCCGCCGCTTTACCCTCTGACCCTGCCGTCAATTTGTCAATGGTTGAACCTGTTGAAGATGATATGAATGAGTCCCCATGGGCTGATTCTGAGAATATATCCCCGGATGAAGTTGAGGCCTGTCCTTCAGACTCCGAAGAGGCCCTTGCTGTAACAGATATGATGGAAACGGATGATGATGAAGACACAGCAACACTCGAGCGTGATCATTGCCATGTCCAAGTTTCCTGGGCTTCCCTTGCAAAAGTATGTGCTATGAATCCATGACAACGAATAATACTGATCAAGAATAGTCTCGATCCACTTGTGATACTCATTTCGTGAGAGATCTCACAGCACACGTCACAAGATTTCCTGTGATACGTGATCTTCAACCCCGTGTTGTTGCTCTCCCTGGAAACCTTCCCACCGTTGTCGTAGATCCCAACGATTTAGCGCTGCTCACGGATTCCACAGCCCGACTGAATGGACACATCCTCAATGGTGTGTCAGCAGCAGTTCTCTCATGGTGCATGCAACCCTTCTCCTTGCATGCACAGTCTGCGCAGAGATGTGCTCTTTTATCGACCTATGATCTGCATCGCGTTCGTTTCAATGCTCCCGATAAAGCTATCTGGAAAAGTCTGGCTCCTACAGAGTATTGGAAAAAGTCGGTCTGGATTGTTCCAGTCCACCGACAAGCCCAGGAGCACTGGGCTCTTGTCATCGTCCTTGTACACGAACAAAAGCTCCTCCTCTTTGACAGCTTGGCTCAGAAGCGTCCGTGGTACACTGATACAAAGGTATGTTTCATTTTTCTTATCATCATAGCAGCTAAAAAAATTTCAGAATGTTATGTTACTGGTGACCCGGATGACACTCCTGGCACATCGAAACGGACATTCGCTCCCTTTGAGCATGGACGGGGAGGCCTGGACTGCAGAGCCCATGATTTCTATCGCAGTCCAGTGCAACAGTTACGATTGCGGTGTTTGGGTCCTTGTCATGATTGCAGCTGTTCTCTGTGGAATGCTGGGATCCAACATCACTGAACCGGAAATTCCTTTTCTACGACACACTCTCACCAACTTCATGCTGACACTTCCATGCAAATCGTCCTGACTCTCTGCTGACAAGCGCAGGGGGGGTGCGGGGGGTGCCGCGAGGGGTGCCGCGGGGGGTGCCGCGGGGGGTGCCGTGGGGGTGCCGCGGGGTGTCACGCTGGGGGTGCTGTCAGGGTAGTAAAATGGTATATCAAATTCATTCAGACAAGAATGCCATGTTATATAGTGTCAAGTAACCTCTCGCCTCCCACTGCAGAAAATGTTCCAACATCTCATACTCCCGTGAGAACTCATCCTCACGGTAAAGTCCCTGCTCTCTCAGCTTGTATGCCTTCTCCCATTGTGCAATAGCTGCGCCCGCATCGTCTGCCAGACGATTCATTTGTCCCTTCTCAAAGAGCGTGCGGCTCTTTGCGTCCATGGACTGCTGGAGGCCAGCTCGAACTCCATGCATGACATTCTTCAGATTTGAAGTGTAGGCACGGTAGTCGGGTGAGTGAGTAGGAGTATCGTCCTGCATGGAAATGAAAGGAGGTATGCCAAGCCACCAATTACAATCCGACAGATCCAATGTTCCAGGATCTGAAAATGCACGTTGGAAAAATTCATTTTCTGTGGGTATTGCGCGTGTCCCATAGTCGATCAACTGCTGGGGGGGTGTAACAGTGTCAGGTAGAGTCCTCATCTCCTCTAGTTCCTTGTCCTTTCTGGCCGATCTGGTCAATCTGCGCTGGGCTTGACCACTGTGAATCTGCTGCATTAGAGAAGGATCGGCAGTGACGATAAGGCCTCACCGCATGCTGGACACATATTTAGCATCTCTGACAGCCTTTGAAGCTTTCCGATCGGCAAGTGTGAGGTAGTTTGCACGGCGACCCATTTTCAAGATGACGGTGAGTGTTCAGTCAGTGTGAGACTCAAGTGTCCTTAACCAACTTTCAAGTGCCGTATTTTTTCTGACCGGAAAGCGTGGAAGTCATGCTCACAAAAGAAAAGGGGGGTAATTCAAGCATATCCCATTCATTTCCGAGGCCTGAGGGCCCTCCACTGCCTCATAGCTCCTTCATAGATAAATGTACGACGTTTATTCCCAATCCGATTGGCTGCCAGGTGACGTGTTCCGGGATGTCAGGTGTGTGAAAATTACGTCTAAGATTCGGAAGGATCTGCCTGCTTGTTTGCGGGGGCGAAATCCTGGTGCGGCGGGGGCCGCCCAATATGGCGGGGTCACTGCAGGGGCTGCCGCGGGGGTCCGCTATTGCCACGGGTTGTGACATGTCGCGACTGATGTGACGTGCATAGCCCTCCCCCGCGCTTTTTCCTTCTCCCTCGTCTGCAGGGGTGCCCTTTGTGTAGGTGAGTGTCTGGAGCTCATTTCGCATCTGCTCACCATCCATTCACCTTCTAGTACTCTTTTCTCAAAAAACCAGCTCACAGATCACCTCTTTTCATCAAAGGTCAACGCGTCCATTCACTGCTCAACCGACCAAGCTCGCGTTTCACACCCTCTGCCTCTACCCCCGACTTGCTGACGCGTCCAAACTCGACAAGAATGGCATCGCAGGGTCGGGGAGGAAGTGCAGGCACGTCGAGGCCCAAGGTGCCCAGTGAGCATAACAACGCGTCCGCAATGTCGACCGACACGCTCGACCCATTCTCCAACAACTTCTCCTTTCCCCTGCCGCCTCCCCAGAACGAATTGGCCGATGCGGACAGCGCGACGGGGCTATTGCTGTCGAATCTCCCCCCGCCCGGCCTTGTTTCAGCCGTGGATGCACGGTCTGCTGTAGATGTCCCCTTTTCCGTCCCTCGTTCGATCTCTCCCCTCCCCAATTTCTCCCAACGACTTCATGCAAGCCTGGCGACCCCGCAGGTGCAGCCAAGATCGCCTCCGCTCTCCATTCCGCCCATTACTACCCTTTCCCCTGAGCATCCCCCTTGGAAGCTCTTCGGGGGCTCTTTCATCTCCAGAGTGACGAAGACGACGAGCAGTTCCCGATGCAGGAAGGGGGTGGTTACGAGCTCCGGCGGCAGATCACCGCATCGCGCAGAGGCCAGAATCTGGCCGACTCGGCTAATGCGGCGCGTCAGGCTCGGCTGCTCGCCAGCGCACGTTTCGAGACCGACCCCGACATCTCCCTTTCCTCTCCGGAGGTCCCGCCGGACATGGCCACCACCGGCCAGTATGGAATTGATCCTGCCAGCCTCTCACGTCTGGACGACTCGCGGATTTCTGACATCGACGCGGAGGGAGAGGAAGACGTGACGCCAGGCCCCCAACTATCAACTGACTATCCACGGCCCTCCCTTTATATCCAGCCAGCTCTGGGCTCGGGCCATCAGCAGACATTCGCCGAACATTGGGACGATGACGAGTGAGTGGCGAAAACTTCTCGATCCTCCCTGACGTGTTTACTGATGACAATACAGTGGTTATGGCAACGAAACCGGGCCCTCGCTTCTCAGTCCACATACCGCCACTTCTACAATGAATGCTGGTGACACTGCTGCACCCCCCGCCGCACCCCCCGCCGCCGACCCCGTCACCAATACCGCCACTTCTCTGATGGATGCTGACGACAATGTCGCACTCCCTGTCTCACCCCCCGCCGCAACCCCCGCCGCAGACGCCGTCACCGCTGGTTCCCGCGAAAATTCCCCTGACATCCCGGCTGAGGATGTGGAAGAGATGCGGATCTTGAAGGAACGTTCGAAAGAACAACGCGAACTCGTATCGAAAACCGCAGAGGCGATCGGCCTCCTCATCGTGAAAACCGCAGAGCTGACCGGCTGGAGCGAGGCCAAAGTCGAAGCCAAGTTGCACGAGCAATACCCGAGGCTGTTCCGCGCTCGGAACTACTATTGGAACGTGTACCAGCGCTACGCGAACAATCCCCGCTATCGAGGCCGCGAGTGGCAACGGGGCACTGGTGGTGATCTCAGCCAGTTCCCAGGCCAGCTCCCACCGCGCCAACGATCTCCAGAGCTCTCCAACTCGTGGTCGAAGTTCCAGAAGCATTACGGCTCCACTGGGCTGGAGGAGATTCTCGACACCTTCGTCGAGTGGGAGCAAATGACGGAGTTGCAGACGCTGGGAAACCGGCAAAAACTTTTTGATGGATGGCTGGGCAAAATGAAGGCCCTGGTGAGCACCTTACCATCCAGCTTACCATCCCTTCTAATCCAATTCAGATCAAGCGTGGCGAGACCAGTGGCAACTTCCAAGTGCTCATGATTGCACTCGGAGGCGTTGCATCGCATGACAGCCGCCTTGCGTCCCTTGTTGCAAGTGAGGGATTATCTCAGTTCATGTCCACTCTGTACCATGGGGAGCTGAGCGACGAAGAACTGCTCAGTCGAGCTCAGCATCACGTTGCGTGAGTCTCCTTTACCCATGTGGATGGAACAGTTTATTGACTTATCTTCATTCCAGTGGCTTGATGATCCACAACGCAGATCAGGCACGCGACGCTCTGCTCGAAGGCGAAGACGGTCCAGATGCCACCGGGGCGGACGACCCCACCTCAAGCCCTGCACGTGCTCCCACCATCACCCCCGTTTGCACCCCCGTCCGCGCCCCCGCTCGCACCCCCGTCCGCGCCCCCGCTCGCACCCCCGCCCGCGCCCCCGCTGACACCCCCACCCGTGCCTCTGCGTGTGACAATCAACCCAAAAACAAAGTCGAAAAGAGAAGTGAATTCGAAGACTGGAGAATACAACCAAGTAGCTACAGTATTTATACCCAAATCCAGTCTGAGTCATATCTACAACTAATGAGTCATAGGGCTATGTACCACATGGAACGCTGGTCATGGGTTGTAGTAGAACCTTCCGGAGCATACGTCGCGCAGCCTTGAATCGATAGAGATAACCCCTGGAACCCCTAGCCCGGACCGTCTGATGCCGTGATCCGTGATAAGATAAGTCGTGCCAAGATAAGATAGGATCGTCGATGATAAGATGAAAAAGAGTCGAATTATGACATTACCCCCTCTCTAGGGTCGATGTCCTCATCGACTAGGCCAATGGGCGTGAAGACGTTTTCGTACGGATCGAAGAGTTGTCGCTGGGGGTATGGAAGGCACTCGTCTTTGGGTTTGTAGCGATGGATGAGGTAATCCCAATGTCCGGCTTCGAGAGTTGGCAGGAGGCGAATGCGTGTGTCTGGGTTGGATTGTTTCCTCTGCCAATCTCTCAGGACCTTCTTCGCGTGGGTAAGGTGACGTGATGGTTCCCAGGTGTTCTCGCTATGCGGCCATCCCTTCCATTTGACCAAGTACTGTTTTCCTCGGCCGACGTTTCGCTCTTTCACGATCTCTTCGACTTCCCACTCCTCTGCTCCTCCGATCATCTTGGCTACAGGCCTCTTCTCTCGGCGATGGGGGGGTGGTTCGTGATATGGTGTCAACAGTGACTCGTTGAACACCGGATGTCTTCGGTCCGTGTCCGGTAAATCCAGCTTCCATGCGGCCGCTCCAACCTTCTCCAATATCTCGTATGGCCCTAGTCTCTTGTCGCTCATCTTCTTTGATGGTCGATCCGTCTCGATATTTTCCCCTTCTATGTACACCTTCATCCCAACCTTCAACTCCGGAACTTCTTTTCTTTGTTTATCGTAGTATTTTTTCATTTTTTCATTTGCTTTTTCTAGTGCTGTTTTTGCTTCGTCTTGTATTTCTTTCATTCTTTTTACAAATTCCTCCGCTGACTCGTTTCTCGACTCCATCCGTTGCTCCACTCCCTTCCATGGGTGATATCCGTGATTCGCATAGAATGGCGATATTTTGGTAGATGTGTTCATTTTATCGTTATATGCGAATTCTGCCATCCCTAGCCACTCCGACCAGTCCGTTTGATGGTAGTTGACGTAGATGCGGAGATAATGCTCGATCTCCTGATTCATGCGTTCTGTCTGCCCATCCGTGATCGGGTGATATGCGGTCCCCGGATTCATTTCCACGCCCAACATCCGATTCGTCTCCCTCATGAAGCCCTTGATGTAACGCGAATCCCTGTCGGTGATGATCTTGCGAGGGATCCCGTGGTAGCGGAAGACTCGGTCCCTGGTTAGTCGTGCCACTCCTTCGCTGCTGATGTCAGTACTAATTGGTTCGACATGGATCATTTTGGTGAAGGTGTCACACCACACATGAATTGCGTCATACCTGTTACTGACCGGCAAGGGTCCGATTTGATCCATGGAGATGATTTCCCACGGCGCGTTTGGAACTGCATGCGGGTGCAAACTCCCTGTCCTTGCTCTCCTGGTCTTGGTCCGTTGGCACGCCTCGCACGTCTGGATGTATTTCCGAATTTGGTTTCCCATCCTGGGCCACCAGTAGTTTCTTTCCACCATCTCCTGTGTTCGGTTGATCCCGGCGTGTCCGACCAAAGGGGTGTCGTGGTGTAGTCCGATGATTTTGTCCCGCAACTCCTCGTTCCTTGGTACGTAGAGCTTCCCATGGTACGTGATAAGCCCCTCTTCCTTCTTCCATCCGACGAGTGACTTCTCTACGGCCGCCTTGACGCTTCCATCAATTGATCGAATGGCCTTGATTTCATCGATTAGCTGCTGATCCTGTCCCTCGAATGTGACTTCTTGTGATCGGAAGAACTCGGGCTTCAGTAGCGTGACGTCCTTGTTGTCGTTCTTGCCCTGATCGTGATCTGCTCGTCGGGACAGGAGGTCCGCCTTGCGGTTGAGTGCGCCGGGTCGGTGTCGTAAGGTGAAATCGAACTCCGCCAACTCCGTGATCCATCGTGCTTGCCGTCGATTGAGCTTCTGCGGCTTCCGAAAGTACTCGAGATTCTGATGATCGGTGAAGATCTCGAACGTTTCCGTGGCTCCCAGGAGTAACTGCCTCCATTCGTCAAGTGATAACATGATTGCGAGCATTTCCTTGTCGTAGATCTCGTAATTTCGCTCGGTTTCGGTCAATGCGTGCGAAATAAATGCGATTGGGCGCCAAATGCCGTCTTGGTTTTGGCTCAAAACTGATCCTGTTGCCCCTTCCGAAGCATCGGCTTCCAGACGATATTGGCCAGTGTCATTTGGCAGTGCTAGGACCGCATCCTCCGCGATTCTCTTCTTCAATCCATCAAATGCCGCATGCTCATCTGCACCCCATGACCATCCTGCCTTTCCTGTCAGCCGTGTCAATGGCTTGGCAACCTCCGCGTATCCCCGGACAAAGCGCCGATAGAAGTTTGTGAACCCTAGAAACGCTTGGACTTGTTTGACGCTCTTTGGTTCCGGCCATTCCATCACGCCCTTGATCTTGACTGGGTCCATCCGCATCGAATTGTGTCCAATAATTACACCCAAATATTCGATTTCCGTGCGTTCGAACTCGCACTTCTCGGGCTTCAGGTATAGCTTGTGCTTCTGGAGTAATTCGAGCACTCGTTTCGTGATCCGCCGATGTTCGTCCAAGTTCTCTGTAAAGATCAGTATATCGTCCAGATAGACTACCACGTGTCCCTCGTTGATCAGTTCTCGGAGTATGTCGTTCATCATGTTTTGGAAGGTAGCCAGGGAGTTCGTGAGACCAAAGAACATGACCAAGGGCTCGTACAGTCCACGGTTCGTGCGGAACGCAGCCTTCCACTCGTCACCCTCTTTGATCCGTACGTTATTGTATCCCCATCGGATGTCGAGCTTGGTGAAGAACTTGGCGCCGCATAGATTATGGACCAGTTCGGAGATCAGCAGCAGCGGGTACCGATTTCGGATTGTCATCTCGTTCAGCTTTCGATAATCCTGGACGGGACGTAGTGAACCATCTTTCTTTTTGACGAAGAAGAATGCTGAGGCCATGGGTGATTTTGATGGTCTGATTCGTCCGCTGGCCAGGTTCTCTTGTAGGAACTCGTCGAGTTTGACCTGCTCGTTTCGTGATAGCGGGTACACCTTGCAGTCCACTGCTTTGGAACCGGGTTTGAGCTCAATCGCATGATCCCAGGTTCGTCGGTCCGGTAGCGAGTCGAATGATTCCTTGGCAAATACCTTGACGAATTCCCGGTATTGATCCGGAATTTTCCCTTCGGTCATCCTCTCCTTCTCTTTTTCCGCTTCTTCTGCGAATTTCTGCGCCGGTGTTTCCTTCAGCCGTAGATCTACCTCCTTTCCAAAGTCGATCAGCAGGATCGATTCTCCCTCTTCCAGATCCGGTGCGCTCGTGTCCAGGTCGATTGCATCCATGTCAATCATCGCTTGGTGTTCCTCGTGACCCCTCATGTGACACCGTTCTGGGCATCGGCTGAATCTCATCGTTTGCTCCTGCCAATCCACCTCCGGGTTGTGTTCCGTCAGCCAGTCAAGACCAATGAAGATCCGGGCCTTCCCCAAGCACGTCAGAAGGAACGTGCGTGTCTCCACGTGAGGACCGATTCTCATCCTTAGGTCAACGTAATGCGTGATCCGGCCGCTGATGTTTTCGGTGTTGTCGGCGTTACGAGCCACAATGGGTTGGGGAAGTTCTTGGATATCCAGCTTCTCTGCCCGCGCGTAGTCGGTATCGATGCAGCAGGTGCTACAGCCACTATCGAGTAGCGCCTTGACTCCGCGCGTCTTTCCTGAGTCCAGGCCTGTGATCTGGACATATACGTCCATCGAATGTCTCTTCCTTTCGGCCTGGTAGTTGCGCAATTCCTGCGCCAGTCTGCCGGGCTGGGGGCCCTTCTGTCTCTCGGCTGCCCATTTCCTTTGAACGGCATCCGGCACCCTTGTGCGTTTGGGTGCTTCTGGAATCCTGATTTCGGCAGATTCCTTGGGCGCTTCCTCCTTTTTCAAGGATTGAGCCTCCGGAGCGATGCTCCCCTTTTCGGTCTTTGTTGACGTGGTTCCTTCTCCACGAGCCATAAATACGTAGGAGTCCAAAATTAATTTATCCGCAGCTTTCTGATCCTTTTTACTTTGTAAATACTCTCTATTTAAAACTATTTTTCTTTGTCGTTCCTTTTCCATATCAGCAATGAGAAAATCATGAATATTGGTACGTAATGAGTCCGAGATTGTATATGTATGTGTAGAATCGTTCATGTCTTTAATCGAAACAAGTACAGAAAAACGTCCATAGTCCGGACGCTCCACCTCCTTGGCTAGAGGAGTGGAGCGCTTCAAAAACCCTTCTCGCGCAGCTTCTCGGCGATCTCCTTCAGGAACTCGTTGTCCTTGTCCCCGTTCTCGATCTCTTCTAGCATTGTGGCCCGATTGAAGAACGTGCGCTTCTTCTTGGGCTCAGGGCAGTTCCGCGCAATGTGCCCAGGCTGCTGACAGTTGTAGCAGATGATATTGCGGCCACGGGCGTGGGTGCGATCGATCTCCATCGGAACCGGCTCATTGGCCGCTGGTCGGGCCGGAGCGGGTGCAGGTGCTGATGGTGCAGCCTGAGGGCGGAATTGGGGTGGGGGCCGCGGAGTTGAGTGCGCATAAGATGCCTTACGCAGCTGATCGCGCAAGGCATTGGCCTCGATGTTGACGCACCAGTTCTTGAAGGCACCATATGCCTTGGGCAGGGGGACGCCGGTGTTGTAGAGGCGGCTTGCAATTTCGCTGCTGAGTCCGCGCTCGAGGAACTCGATGAGGATGTTGTCCTGATCCCCCTTCTTGTACTCGCCCTTGTCATCAGTTGAGGCGACCACGTTGTACCCCGCGTCCGCAGCCAGCATTTCGAAGTCAGAGATGTAGTCCGCGAAGGACCGTCTGCCCTGGCGAAGGGCCATGAGTCGGGCGGCAGCGACTTGCTCTGCGTTAGAATCCCCAAAGGCCCTCTGAAGCTCCTCCAAGAAGCTTGTCGCGGTGACTCCCGCCTTTAGTCCTTGGAAGCCCTCGAAATTGTGCTGCTTCCAGTTCATCGCCCATCTTGAGGCGGCGCAGCTTGTGCCGCTCTCATTGCGGAGGTAGGACAGGACGAAGAGGATTTTCGTCTCGTCCAGCGAGAACTCTGACCGATAGGCACCGATGTAAGTGGTGCACGCGTCCACAAAGCCCAGGTATTTGGACTTGTCGCCATCGAAGTAGGGGGGGTTGGCAGCGAGAGTGATGCGGTGATGTCCTGACATGGTAGGAGCAGGTGCGGTAGGTGGGGGCGAGGGTGGTTGTTCGGAGGGTAACTCGCCAAGGTCGGGGATCTCGTCTTCAGGCGGCGGGAGGGCGAGGTAGGGGTTGGAGGGTCCGGGTTCGTTTTGATGCGCCAGATCGGGCGACGATGGTATGATGGGGGGAGGGGATGGGCTCCCAGATGACGATGGGAATCGGTACGAAATGGTGGATTCGTGTGCTGTACAAGCACTCGAGGAAAGGTTCTTTTGCTAGCAAAAAGATCCCGGGCCTAGCTCTTCACGTGCCCGATGATCCCGAGGTGCGTTTTCCCAAAGGTCTCCGCAGCACTCCTTGTAGCTACCGTAAGGCTTGGGTCGGGCTCAACGTTACCTGTGGCCTGGTGCTGTTTGCTCGATATGAACCTTTCACTGCGATCGCAGCAAGCGACTAGATGATTCGGTAAAAGGGTGAGTGGGGTGGTAAGGGTGAAGAGGATATAGCGGGCGTAGCGGTGCACGGAGCAGGGTAGGAGGTAAGAGGTACGAGGGTATGAGGGGAGTCTTCGAATTATGTGACAATCAACCCAAAAACAAAGTCGAAAAGAGAAGTGAATTCGAAGACTGGAGAATACAACCAAGTAGCTACAGTATTTATACCCAAATCCAGTCTGAGTCATATCTACAACTAATGAGTCATAGGGCTATGTACCACATGGAATGCTGGTCATGGGTTGTAGTAGAACCTTCCGGAGCATACGTCGCGCAGCCTTGAATCGATAGAGATAACCCCTGGAACCCCTAGCCCGGACCGTCTGATGCCGTGATCCGTGATAAGATAAGTCGTGCCAAGATAAGATAGGATCGTCGATGATAAGATGAAAAAGAGTCGAATTATGACACTGCGCGCACCACTGTTCCCTCGTCTCCTGCTGACTCCCTGGCTCAGTTGCGGGCACGGGCTCCCCCACGTCACCCCCTTCAGCCGCTGGAGACGGCTCCGATGTCGCAGCGGGAGGTTGAGGAGGGCATCCAGACCATCTTGGATGCTTTGGACGGTCCTTCCACCTTGCGCTCAAAACGGACGATGAAGGTGAACCGCTTGTGGGACAACCTCCTTGACGACCTGAGCGCGTTGTCGATGGCTCAAGTCGGGAGCGAACCGCTTGGTACGTTGACAAGCATGAGCCAAAGGACGTTCCCATGGAAGACCGCCGGTCCGGCGCTTTTCAAGGCAGGGTACATGGTCCTCGGATGGCCCCATCTTCTTCCCCTTCCGACGAAGCTCGGACACGCAGACAAGGGCATTCGCTCGTTGCCGGCATCGCAACAGAGCTCACTGGTGGCCGCCATCAAGTTCTCCCTGAACGAGGTCTTCGAGGGGCGCGAGCCAGCGGGTATTTCCTTTTTTGGCAACGACTGCCGCGATCCCCGTGAGCGCTTCCTGATAAACACCTTTTGGCACGAATTGACCTTCATTCCAGGAATGCCCGTGCTCGCTGCGTTCCCCCAGCGCGTTGGAACAACCATTGCTTTCAGTGGTTCCGAGTTCGTCCTCGGGGTGACTGGACAGGGGGACCCGTGCTACTTCAGGCTGAACCTCTTGGACCCAGACCCAACGCGACGATACTTGGACTTCAGCATCGTGGTGAAGAACGAAGCCGGGGACTACGCTCTTCCTGTGGTCTCCCAACCGGCTTTGCATGCACCTGGGGCTGCTCCTGTCGTATTGAGCTCACCAACGCGCAAGCGCCGTGGTCACCTCCCCGCCGCACCCCTCGCTGCACCCCCCGCCGCGCCCCCCGCCGCACCTCCCGTCACTGACGCAGCGTCGTCTCCCATGCCGCAGCCTGCCTTACCCCCGCCTGCTGTCAACAAGGCCAGTGGGAAGAAGCGCAAGGCTGATCCCGTGGACATTCCCGCTCCCCGTCGCAATCCGAAGCGTGCCAAGGCCAGCACTGCTGCCCCACCTCAACCGTCGCACCAAGTTGGTGGAGGCAAGCAGCGTCAGGAGTCGACACCGGCCTCGGAATACGTCCCAACTGCGTCTGCTCTCTCGGAGACATCGGATGCTCAAAAGGAAGGTCCTGCCGGTCAGTACCTCGCTACCCTATATGGACATGACAATCTTCCCCTCGGCTTCATTCTCCCCAAAGAGAAGCGCAGATCTAAATCATTTCCAGTAGTTCTGACGCGCAAGCTGCTGCGACAGAACAAGCGTCGCTATCAAGAGATGAACGCGCCGTCCCCCGAGCTCTCTTCCCCTGAGAGTGAGGAGGAAGTGGCAAAGACACCCCCACAGAAACGCCCTCGCCCCCGCCCTCGCCCCCGCCAAGTCAATGCAGTTGCCAGCAGCTCACAGCAAACGCTGGACGATCCCCCTGCTGCGCAGGCGCCTCGCGCTGCCACCAAGAAGCAAGGGGCTGTTGTTCCAGCTCAAGCTCCGACGTTGGTGTCACAGTTGACGCCAGCCAACGTAGGAACGGCGGCACCCTCTTCAGCACCCCCCGCGGCACCCCCCGCGGCACCCCCCACGGCACCCCCCGTCGACACCTCCACCGATACCCCCGCGGCCACTGCTGCTGCACCCACAGCGTCGACTTCCACGGCAGCGACTGGATCGACCGAGACTGCCTGTCGCGGATTGTTCCACTTCGGGAACGGCTTATCTTATCGCTCCTTTCCCACAATCTCTTTTAATTACCACTGTTTGTATAGCCGATCGGTATAAGTAGTTTAGGGTCTATTTACGGTAGACTCAGTCAATCTTACAGCTTATCCCTGTCATTGCCGTTTGGTTGCCTCAACTTCTCTTGTGCCGGAACTCGAATCACTCGCTTCCGTCACATACATATTTTTGACAGTAAAGCACTCGTCTTCGCCCTGCCCTGGTTCCCTGCGGTCTGATCAACCGCCGCTGCCGACTTCGACGAAGACAGACAACCCCTATAAATTTTCACCCTACCCAATCTTCTACTCCCTGCTACCATGCAGACCCACAACCCCGACTCCCACGTATCTCGGATCCCAGTATCTGCCAGCCGTTCGAAACTGCGGCCCCGCGGCCCCGACGGCAAGGTCATGGACCCGAAAACCGCTCAGCCGACTACCCCTGAGGCTCGCGCAGTGACGCCTGAGCTCACCTATGCTCGAGTTGTCTCCCCGGCCTTGGCCGTTACTTCCCCCCAGCCCGTCAACGCGTCCATGACCGTTGGCGGAGACAACGCCGAAAGGCCAGCCCGTGCAAGCACGGATACGCTATCCCCGAACAAGAGTATCGGTCACCGATCCGCGGAGGCGGAGACGGGCACCGTTAGCGATGGCGATGGTCGCTGGACGGTGGCATCTGGCCGCCGTACCCGGACCCACAGAGAGGAGCCTGGCGAAAGTGCCAGCCGCCCTGTTAGTCGTATCAGCAATGTAGAAGTGTTACGAAATGACAGTAACGTTACTTCCATCATCGATGAAGCCGCTCAGAGCATGTCTCCGGAGATGCTGCGGCTGATCGCCCAACGCTACGCCAAGATGGCGGAGGCGGCTGGAGCGAATGCTCACGCAGGTAAAAAGACCAAAGCGGAGCCCATCTCCGAGGCCCTTACGGGCTCGGAAGCCAGGCAGGCCTACGAGCCTCAAGTATCTCCTGACGAGGAGGTAACTATCCTGGATGACGCCGACGAGATCGCAGAATCGGCTAGCGTTACCGATGTCGAGTCAAACGCTGATCAGGCTTTGAGCGACGCGGGTTCGGTCATCGCGGGGCACGATTCCGACGAAGAGTCGAGCTCGAATGGTGATGACACTGACTCCTACCTCCACACCGCCGCGGGCTCCTCGAGGGACAAAGGCAAGGGAGTTGATCCCCGGAACTGGGGAGACATTGAATGGGAGGAAGGGGAGATCGATCATCAAAAGAGCGCACTGAAGTTCTTTGAGCTACGAAAGCGAGAGCAGCAGAAATGGGACCGAACCCACGTCGAGCCGGCCAGGACATCCCTCGAAGGTCCCCCAATCAGTGGGCCGACCCCCAAGAAAGAGGATGGAGCCGGGGCTGGGCTCGTCACTGGTCAGGCGAATGATATCCTTGAAAGGGGATTCGTCCGCGAGTTCTTGCGCATGCGTGATCGCCTGGCTGAGTTTGAGAGGCAGGAAGAATTGCGCCAGGAGATCGACCGCGTGGGCGTGGGCAAACAGCCTAAGAGCGAGAGGATCAGTGAAAATGGCAAAGGGCCACACACTGGCTTGCCCTCCGATGCCCTTAAGATCCCAAAGCAGGAACAGGTGAGCTCTGCCTCGCGCAAGCCCCGGATCCATGCGAAGGGAAGAACTAGTGCTGGGGGATTCGTGAACAGTGTACTACGAGGCGTCAGTCACCAACCGTCGGACGACAGTTCGAACAGCTCATCTTCCGACTCCTCGTCCTCAACGTCCTCCCGTGACAACAGCGACTCTCCCGGAGATGGCTCTAGCTCCGACTCTGACTCAGACAACTCTGGCTCGAGCGGCGAATCCGATTCGTCTGGCTACCGGTCGGAGAAGGAGAAAAGGAAAAAATCTAAGAAGAAAAAGGGCGATTCAGCGCGCAAGCCGGTGAAGGGTAAAATGATTGTGAAACCAAACCCACCGGCGCGTTATGATGGCGCGGAGGACTCCGACCGATTCACTCAGTTCGTAGATGAAGCGAGCCGTTGGTGTAAGCTCGGGAACGTGCCCAGGGAGCATCGAGTTGCTATGGTCGGCGGATATCTCGATGGCGACGCAAAAGACTTCTACAACCGGCGTGTCCGCGGACAGGAGCACAAGTGGGCGCTAAGGAAGTTCTTCCGACGGCTGTTGAAACATTGCTTCTCGTTAGACTATCTTCAGAAGCAGAGGAAGCGACTGACTCGTTGCCGCCAGAATGGCAGATCGGTCACGAAACATGTCCTGGAGCTGGAGTCGATTTTACTTCAGATTGGGCTGAAAAAAGACCGGGAGCGCGTTGCCCTGCTGTGGGACAGTTTCGACGAGGATATCCAAGAGGAGTTGTTCAGGTTTCGCCTTGATCCTGAGAAATCAAGCTGGAAGGATGTAGTGAAAAAAGCACTAAAATCTGAGCGCTTCCTGAACTTAGAAAAGAAAAGAAAGGGACGCACCAATCCCTTCAATAACAGCGCCTCCGGCTCTAACCAGAACCTCCATGGCCTATCGCAGAAGGACAAGAGGAAGAGGTTTATCCCACGAAGGCGGAGCGGAGTCATCAAGACAGCGGCGGCCACCGTCGAATCCCCGCAACGTGAGAACGGATCACGGGCCGCTAAACCGCAGCGGCATGCCTCAACGACTGGTAACTCGGCGGGAGCCTCCTCGTACCACCAGCGCCCTGCGGGCCCCGAACGACCATGGGAGCGCCGCTTATCGCCCCAGAAGCGCGCCGATTTAATGGCTAAAGGACTCTGTCTGAACTGCGAGGAGGCGGGCCACATAGCGCGGAGCTGCCCCAAACTCACAACGATGAAGTCTAAAATAAAGGGAAAGCCCCCAGAGTTTGGAGCGCACGGTGTCAGCGTCCGCCTAGCCTCCCTTGGGGAGACGACGGAAGTTCTAGAATCGATAGGTGTATCTAGTCTATCTTTTTCTGAAGTCCGGGAGGGCAGGGACACCCTGAATGATTTTAGTTCGGATTCAGACGCGGATAGCACGAATTACTCAACGGTAGACCCTCAATGTGACTCAGAGCTGGACGATACTAGCCTTATCAATGACTTCAGCCGTCTGTCCATACAATCCACGGGACCGAAAGTCCGGCCCCAACTAGGCATAATCGAGAGTGCGGTTGAGGATCTGATGGGTGAGAGGGAGGTCTCGAATCCACGACCAATGAGAATTGGTGATCTTCGAGCACGGTTTGCGAGTATAGTACTTCAGGAATGCGCGCCGTTCCCAGGAGATGACGGATCCGAGCCGAACGAAGAGCGATTCCTAGTGTACAGAATCCAGAATTCGGAATACTATTGCATCTTGGACAGCGGCACGCCTCTGAATATTCTTGAAGGCGATGAGATTATTCATTACTCTCACCTGGATGATCCTGACTTTGAGCTCGGTTACTGGTGGGCTCAGAAGTGCTGGCTAGCCCAGGGAGTTCATCCGGACGCTGTCCACATCGATTATACGGAGTCCCAGCTTCGCAAGCTGGGAGACGCGCTACTGGCAATGATGCTCATTATGCTGCATAAGATCGAAACGGAACAGCTGGGCATCAAAGGCGGAGAAGAGCGATTCGTGGGGGAATCACTGCCAGGAAAGATGTACTCATTTGGGCGGAATCACAGCCCTCGTCGTATCATTGTCAACGAGTCTACTCTCTTGAACCCAGACCTGGACATTTGGGAATGGTATAACCGACACTTCTGGTACTGCGAGGACTCCATAAACCCGTCGGGACCGGCCCTGTGCAAGCGGAACACACCGTCACCGGATGAAATAGAAGCTAGATATTGCCCCGAGGGGATATCTGCAATGAGTGCAAGCGGATGTGGTGACAATCCATCCTCCGACGAGTGGGACGGCTTGAACGACGACCTACCCGGCCTTGAGTCTGAACCAAACAGCGATGATGAATCAGACCAAGACGATGAGAATAGTGAGTGCCACTCAGTCTGGAACGCTGCGGTCGCCGAGGCCGGATTCAATTTGGAGACAGCCTGGACAACGTTACCCGAAAACAAGCGGGCCCCGTGGCCACGGAGTGGAAACCGGAAGGTCGGTGATATCATTGCCAATGGGGCGAAACACATCCTGGAACTCTGTCAGCCATATCCTGGAGACGCAGCGCATGGCCCGGAATCACCCTTATGGGGAAGGGAACGTTTTTTGGTGGAAACCGCATGGAGCGAAGAGGACTATATGGTCAGAGACGCGCTCCACGGGGTATCAACGCTGATACCTGGAGGACAGATGCTGAACCCACTCTTCGAGCTGGGTTCCTGGTACGCAAGCCAACTAGCGGAGCGCCTTGGTGTCCCGAGCAAAAATTCAGCGCTGTGCCACCAGATTGCTGAACAGGATTCGCTGGCTACCGGCCTGGAATTGTACATAAGTAATCTTGCTAGAAATTTTCCTGAGGCGAGGGACTTCATGAGCATAAGGCCGTGCTTCGGGGAAGATGCCAACCCCCGTCCTAGCGGATATTCGTTCGGATGGGCCGACAGCGAGCAGTTGGAAAGCGCGCGTGTTATGGTATCGGTCGGGCAGCTGAAAAACCAGAAATTGGATCTGCTCAACTTGCTCATTCGTACGCGAGAGAAAGAGCGAATCAAAGCTGAGTTGAGATCAGCCATAACAGAAATTCCTCAGGACGAATGGTGGATGACATACCAACGTTCGGATGGATCCTCGTGGAATTACGTCGACTTGGCATGCCATGGGATGCAGGTGCCGGCTGACAAGTTGGCAAGCCTGTCTAGGTCCGCCTCCTCTCCGAAGGCAAAGGAGGCTATAGTCGCCAAGCCACTGGTAGTTGTCGTGAATGTGAATGGTCAACCGATGCGAGCACTCATCGACTCAGGATCCCTTGGTGATTTGATATCGACCACGGTTGCAGACCAGCTGGGTCTTCCGCTAAAACCCCTGCCACAGCCGTTGACCTTACAGCTGGCGGTGCAGGGTTCTAGGTCAAAAATCAACCACGCTTCAACTGTTAAGTTCTCGTATCAGGACATCGGCTGTTCTCGCACCTTCTTTGTGGCCAACATTAGCGGGTACAATATGATTTTGGGCACTGCTTGGCTCTTTCAGCACCAAGTGACTATTGGACTCAATCCATCGCGCGTGTGCATTGGCAGCGCTAGACCGCTCCCACTGGAAGGCGTGGCTACGGCGCGGATTCATACAAACGCGATGGAAGTTGAGGACAATGAGCTTGGACAGACGCGCCAGGAGTTGCGAGATTATGCAAGGGACGTCTGCAAGGTTGCGTCAGAAACAGAACTGCCGCCGCTTAGGGCCATAAACCATACCATCCCGCTCATCGATCCCAGCAAAATCATAAAGTGGAGGCCCTCGAGGTGCCCCGAGCCCCTGCGACCACTTTGGGATGAGAAGCGTCGGGCGTACCTTAGAAGTGGAAGATGGCGGGTCACAAGCGCGACAAACACCGTACCCATGTTGATGATTCCCAAAGCTAAGTCGAACCCGCCCAAGCTGCGCGTGGTGGTGGACCTCCGGGAGCGAAATGCTAACACCCACAAAATGGCGTCTCCTCTGCCAGATATGGACGGAATCCTCCGGCGAGTCGCCAAATGCAAGTATCGATCTTTGATTGATGGCCAGGATGCATATGAGCAAATCCGCGTTGTTCCCGAGCACGTTGACCGAACGACCATGACAACACCTGATGGGAATATGGTTAGCCTTGTGCTCCAGCAGGGGGATTGTAACGCGCCGGCGACCTATCAGTCGCTAATGAACCACTTGTTCTCAGATTTCATTGGACGCTTCATGGATGTATATCTTGACGACATAATTATATATTCCAGCACGCTGGCCGAACATAAAAAACATGTGAAATCGGTTATTGACGTACTGAGGAGAGAAAAACTGTACCTCGGGGAGAACAAGTTGCAATTCTTGAAGCCTGAGCTCAAGGTCCTTGGACGCGTCATAACGGACAAAGGAATTCGCATGGATTCGGACAAAGTTGACTCGGTCCTGAATTGGAAAACCCCAACGAACCGCGACCTGTTGAGAGGGTTCTTGGGTTCGGTCGGGTATTTGGCAGACGACCTGGCCCATGTGCGCGTTCCTATGGCTGTCCTACACGGGCTCACCGGAGATACGGTACCATTTCGCTGGGGCTACACGCATCAGCGCGCATTCGAAGACATCAAAAGGATAGTTTCTGACCTCCGGAACCACCACCGAACGCCGCTTGACTATGGCCCCGAAGCGGAACCTATCTTCCTAGTCACGGACGGGAGTGCCACGGGCGTGGCTGGAGTGGTCTGCCAGGGCCCCGATTGGAGGAACGCGAGAGTGGCGGCGTTCTTCTCTGCTAAGCTCAATTCAGCCCAGCAGAACTATGCTGTTCACGAGATTGAGATGATGGCCGGAGTAGAGGCTATGCTGCGCCATCGAGACATCCTTCAAGGATGTAAGTTTCAATGGATCACGGATCACAAAGGCCTGACTCACCTGATGAACCAACGCGAATTGTCCGGTCGTCAGGCAAGATGGATCGAGAAGATATCAAGCTTCGACTTCGACGTGGTGTACGTGCCAGGGACAGAAAATGTGTTGGCCGACGCGTTGTCACGGATCTACTCAAACGAATCACCTGGCATGGTACGGGCTAGAAGCGAATATACTTACCATGACGTGATAAATAATGACGTCCTGAGCGCTCACTCCATCACCATGCCGGTGCTGTCTGGAATTGAGGCCATGGCAATGTCATCTGACCGCGTCCTTAGGTCAAAGACGCGAGCAGATGCATCTGCAAAGCAGGCGGTGTTGAATTCCATGAAGGGACCCACGACGGGGGTCACAAAAGCGCACAGAGTGAAACGTCCAAACAAACTTCCCTCCCTAACGGAAGGGAAGGAGGGCGGGAGTACAGAACGTACGGAACAAAATCATTCAACAGTCAAAGGACAGGAGGGCGGGTCGCCGCCGCACGTCAATCAGTCAGACTATTCTGGTACCTACCCCGCAATTGACTCCACGGTCGCAGAAGCGGATCCATCATTAATTTCAGTGGTCAATCAAGGACATGACAAGCTGGATATATTAGGATTCATCCGTCATCGATATTCCGAGGATAACTTCTTTAAGGGTATCCTGGCTAATCCAAAAGAGTACAAAAACTTTGAAGTGAGAGAAGGACTTGTATTTTTAAAAGACAAGGACCACCAGGTCCTGTGCGTGCCGAAGCTCGAATACAACGGCAGATCCATCCGGGAAATAGTTATATCTGAAGGGCATTCAGTTCTCGCGCATCTCGGAGCACGAAAGACAATTGACTACCTACGTGACAATGTGTGGTGGAAGACTTTGGTGGAAGACGTAAAATCCTTCTGCAGCTCTTGCACAACCTGCAAGCAGAGTAAGCCAAATAATCACGCACCATACGGGCTGCTGAACCCTCTATCTACTCCGCAGCGACCTTGGGAAGCCATAGGCGTCGACTTCGTCGGACCGCTGCCGGAGTCAAAAAACCGAGATAGCGTGTTCAATTCCATCACCGTGGTCATATGCCTACTCACGGGGATGGTTCACCTGATCCCAAGTCGAACCAACTACACTGCTCGTCAGTTCGCAGAACTCATGTTTGAAAGCGTATACAAACTTCATGGCCTGCCAAACGCGATCGTTAGCGATCAAGACGTCCTGTTCACGAGTATATTCTGGACGCGGCTGAATGAGCTCGTTGGGACTGAACTGAAAATGTCCAGCGCCTACCACCCTGAAACGGATGGGGCTACCGAACGCGCTAACCGGACGGTCACTCAACTGCTAAGACAATGCGTGAGCGACAAGCAGAGAGACTGGGTTTCCCGCTTACCGGCGGTCGAATTCGCGATGAATATGGCCCGGTCCGAGACAACCGACTACTCTCCATTCTTCCTGAACACTGGAATGATGCCCAGGGCAATGGTCTGGGACTCCGACCGGTCAAAAGATTACCCAGGTGTGGCAGCGTTTGTGCTCCAGAGGCGCCTTGCCGTGATGGCGGCGCACGACGCCATTCTTGCATCCCGGGTCAAGCACATCCGAGACGCCAACCGTAAGCGGCTGCCCGCCCCGTTCGTTACGGGAGACCAAGTTTACCTCAGCACGAAGAACATTAACTTCGAGAAAGGACTTGCTAAGAAACTCTTACCTAAGTTCATTGGCCCGTACCTGATCCTGCGGGACTTCGGAAATTCTTCGTTTCAGGTCGACCTGCCGGCTAATCTCAAGCAGCGAGGGGTCCATGACGTCTTTCATGCCTCCTTGCTTCGAGTTCATGTGCCCAACGACGATCGACGTTTTCCGGGCAGACTGGAGAGTCAATTGAATGTCGCGGATGCGGCAAGCGACTCAGAATGGACTGTTGATCGTATCCTGGGACACTCGGGAAGCCGCCGCAGAGCCCTTTTCGAGGTGAGATGGAGATCCGGGGACTTGACTTGGATGCCTTATCAGCAAGTGAGCAAGCTGAACGTCCTTCAAGACTACTTCGAGAGTCTCGGGATACAGGACATCACTCAACTAGTGAAAGGGGCAAAAGTAGCGCCCCCTCTTGAGTTCCAAGTCGGATGTGCGGATATCGAAGAACAGAGGGCGGAAGGATCAGCCCCGGGGACCCAGGAAATAAAAGGGCCAGAATGGTCCCCTCCGACTGACTGGATTTATCCATCTGCATCTTCTGAGCGTCAACATTCCTCTATCACCATCGAAATGTCGTCCACCGCTCACCTTCTCACCTATCACGGAGACGTCGTTGACGGATCGACCCCCCTGGGCCACGAGCTTCCAGACGAGCACTTGGCGTTCAATCACCAGCACCTGGGGACCCTCAAGTTCATCACGGTCCGCCTGATCGTTGCTCAACTCAACGGAGTCGACATCATGTTCGACTTGCGTCAAATGCTGCAGATCGTGATGTGGAATATGCGTGTCAACGACCTCGACCGGAACATGACGGCGGCCGACCCTGCTCCCGCGGGAGCCGCTGAGCTCGCCGACGCTCTCAACGGGATCGACAACCGGCTGTGGTCGATCGCCAAGGTGGCGTATGACGGGACCATCGAGTACGCCGAGCACTACATCCCCACCCCGCAGGATTTTCTCTGCCTTGACAAGTACCTGCACGACCCCACTCCCACCGGCATGATCCAGATCTCGATCGCCGAGTACGAGGAAGGCCGCGAAGCGATTGTCGGGCGCGACCGCGCCTTGCGCAAGGCCCGGGAGCGCCGCATCGCCGAACAGCAGCAGCGGGGTGCTGCCCCTGCGGAGTACGCAATTGGAGTCAACTCCGGTGAGATGGCCGCCCGGCGCCGCCTTCGCATTGAGGAAGCGAAGGCGAACCGGTTGGCGGCTGGGGCGGGGGCGGAGGGGGAGGGAGATGAGGGGGCGGGAGGAGATGCTTCCATGACTTAAGCTCGCGCCTAGAGCGGCGAGCTGGAGGGCGTATGTCACGGATCGTTCCACTTCGGGAACGGCTTATCTTATCGCTCCTTTCCCACAATCTCTTTTAATTACCACTGTTTGTATAGCCGATCGGTATAAGTAGTTTAGGGTCTATTTACGGTAGACTCAGTCAATCTTACAGCTTATCCCTGTCATTGCCGTTTGGTTGCCTCAACTTCTCTTGTGCCGGAACTCGAATCACTCGCTTCCGTCACATACATATTTTTGACAGTAAAGCACTCGTCTTCGCCCTGCCCTGGTTCCCTGCGGT